AGGTGGGATTCCCTTTCCTGGCTGGTGGCAGCATGGAAATGTTGTCAGAGGACAACTCAGAGATCACTCCTAGTGGGCTCAGGGCTCATATGGGTTGCCAGGAATTGAACCCCGTTCAGTCATGTGCACGGCAAATACCCTACCTGCTATACTATTTTTCTGGCCCCTCAGTTGACAATTTCTAGGAGAGACTGGGGTAAAGGGAGAATCCCAGGCCTCACCTCAAACCTACTCAATCAGAAGCTGTACTTGAGCTAGATTCCAGATGACTTTGAGAACTTAGCTCAGTGGCACACTTCACAAAGTAATGAGTGAAAGCACAGCTAGGCTTAATACTGGGAAGTGGATTCTATTTGTTTTCTACCCAAAACAGCAGATTCTTCATTCTCAGCTGGTGAACTGGAAGAGTGAAAGGCCAGTGGCTTCATCAAGCACTTGTGTGTATCAGACATAATTTCCTTAGGTTGTAACAGGAACTATTGATGCAGAAGAAAAAATAAAGTGGCCATAGAAAGGAAGTTAACTCTTCCCTCACTCCTCACTCCTCATCACCCCCAAACAAGGAAGGATGGGGGAGAAACCAAGAAGATTATTAGGGAAAGAAAAAGGCAAGGCACGGCCAGAGTATAACACGTCAGACAGTTACCTGCATGCAGCCAACCTAGGTTCAATCCTGGCACCGCATGTGGTCCCTGAGCATTTTGAGGAGTAAGCCCTGAACATCGTTTGGTGTGGCCCCCAAACAGACAAAAACAAAAAATTAAGGCAAAGCTTAGCAAGAGGGTGAGCCAGGGAAAGGCTGAAAGCAGCTGAATAAAAGGATGAAACAATGATTGGCAGGGAGGTTAAGGTTTTGGGGGGAGTGTGTGTGGGGGGGACTATACCAAGAATGAATTGGTAATGATTCTCAGCCCAAACTGCGCATGACAATTGCCTGTGATGTTTCTATTTATTTATTTAGCTTTTGGGTCACACAGTGCTTGGACTATTCTGTTCTCATGAGTGACCCCCTGGCTCTGTGCTCAGGAGACCATACACAGTACAGGGAATCAAACTGGGGTTGGTTGCATGCAAAGTAAGCACCTTACCTCCTATACTCTCTGTCCGGCCCTGGCTATGATGATTTTTAATATATACTATAGCCTGGCCTTAATGTATACCATTACTGTGGGGAGGGAGACTAGCTTCACTAGTTGTCAAAAACCAGGTGATGCTAGTGAATGAAACAGCTATGGAAAAACACTGATGTTGGGTTAGAGAGAGAACTCAGTGAGCTCATGCACAGGCCTGGTGTTTGGAGATCCCAGGTTACATTCCTGGCACTTCGTGGTCCCCTAAGTGCTACCACAGTGGCCCTGGTGGCCTCCAGCATTGCTGGATCTAAGCAGCATCTGACGGAGTATCACCCCCTGAACAATGCTTGGGAGGACAGAATGTAACATCAAAAACCACTGATGCTGTGCTGGAAAGATAGGATCTGGATTAAAGCACTTGCCTTGCATGCAGCCGACTGATTTGATCCCTGACATCACATGCTCCCCTGAGCACCGCCCACTGCTCCGCTTCCTAATAGTGGTCCATAGGCAGTGCTGTAGGAAACAAACAATACCCTCTGCTAGAAGTAGTCCTCATAGTTCTGAGGGGAGCTTGGGGGAGGGAGCCTCTGATTCTGTTTTATTTCTGGGCTGAAATAAAATTTCTGAGCAGTTCTTTCACATGACTGGTGACGGGAATTATCAGGGAGCTTTTTAAAAAGTACTGATGCTCCATCCCACGTCTATTGACTATGATTTAATTGATGTGGTGCCTGAAATGGACTTTCAAAAGGTCCTAAGATGACTCTAATGTGCAGACAATTTTGGAAACCGCTGACCTGAGGAGAGGCAAGATAGGCCTTCAATATTACCTGTTCGGCTGCAGAATTAATTTTGGTCCTGATACTTACCATCCAGTTAAGTAAATCGAAAGACATGACTCTCACACCTTTCTGCACATTAGAATCACTCAGGGAATTTTAAAAACTCATGCTGGGAGCCCCCTGCTTTGCAAGGATGTGAGGATGTGATTAGAAGTTTAAATCCTTCATTTGCCACACGTGCCACACACAATCCTGGCACGTGTGCTGTCTTCAATTCCTAGTCCTATTAGTGATTTCTAGCCACTCTAGAGCCAAATGTCTTAAACCCCACAAATTGGGGTATAATTGGCCAGAGATAGGACAGGGGTTAAGGTATTTGCCTTGCGTATCATCAAATCCAGTTCAATCCCCAGCAATGCAGAGGGTCTCCAAAGCACCTCCAGGAGTGATTCCTGAGCACTGAACCAGATGTAAGTCCTGAGTATCAACGAGATGTGGCCACAAAATAAATGTGGGGCAGGGTGACCCCTAGTGAGAACCAGAACCAAAATGATGTGTGATCACCACAGTCAGGAAGCAGCCACATTGTGTGAATCCCACCAGGAGGTCCACAACAGATCTTGTATAGCTCAACTAAGAGAGCAGCCCCTGGTGAGCACCCTGCCTGAAACTATGTGAGTTTCAGAGCCAGGTGCAAATAGTATGTCCAGTCAGCATAACAGTATCCAAAACAATGAAGGAAAGGAACATGGAAAATGAAACAAAACGTTTGTCTTGTTTTGTTTTGGGTCCCACTCAGCGATACTCAGGGGTCACAACCGACTGCACCGAGGAACTACTTCTGGTGGTGCTTAGGGGACCATATGGGATGCTGGGGAGCAAATGTGAGTTAGGTGCATACAAAGCAAGAGCCTTAACCGCTGTACTATTTCTCCAGTCCCTTAATTTTCAAAACATTTTAAGGCTAGGCTTGGACTAGATGTCATACTGACTACACCTATCTGTGAAGGTACCAGGCACACCCTCCAGCTCTTTGTACCAATTCCCCAGTTCTTGGGACAAAGTATTTTTTTTAACCTACATTTTCATACACAAGAAACACTTGTTGCACAGTGCATTTCTGAGAAGTAGATATGGACCACTGGTGAAATTCAATCATTTAACACTTATCTTACACAATTATTACTTTATTTATTTATTTTTCTTTTTGGGTCACACCCAGCAATGCTCTGGGGTTACTCCTGGTTCTGTGCTCAGGAATTACTCCTGGCGGTGCTTAGGGGACGAGATGGGATGCTGGAGATTGAACCCAGGTTGGCCGTGTGCAAGGCTAATGCCCTACCCACTGTACCATCACTCTGGCTTCCAGTTATTGATTACTTTTAAAACATTACTTTTTTCCCTCATTCATTACAAAATGATTCTGGATATTATCTATGTGTCAAGAATTGACATTAACCTCTGAGGAACAAAGATATTAAATTATTTGTTTTTAACAAGCCTGACATAATAGAAATAGAATTTGAATATAATCACCGCAATAGGGAAGGGAGAGCTCAGTGGGCTGAGCACAGGCTTTGTATACTGGAGGCCCAGATTCCGTCTCTCAAGCAGCATAGTCACCTAGCACTGTCAAAAGTGACCCCAGCACTGCAGTCTGTGGCTTAAGAAGCCTGAACAAAGTTAATTGACAGAACTGCTAGTATATAAAGAACTGTGAGAAATGAAGAGGAAATAAGAGTTGAGGAAAGTGGAAAGGCTTCAGAGAGAAAGCAGTATTAGGAATTTCTCTAGTAAAGAGAGAAGAGCATTCTTGGCTCCTGACAGGAGAGACCCACGTTTTATTATTTTCCTTGGGTTTTTGGACCCCACTTAGTGATGCTCAGGGATTACTCCTGACAGTGCTCTAGGAACCATATAGGATGCCAGGAATTGAACCTGGGTCAGCCGGGTGTTAAGCAAATGCCCTATCCACTGTACAATCTCTCTGGCCCCAAGATCCATGTTTCAAAGGAATTAAATTTATCTGTGTTTGAATAATCAGAGGACACCAGTTCTCACCTAAAGTTAGGTGCATCAGAATATGGGTACTACATATACACAGGACAATAAAAGATAAGGAGAAGGATGATTTTGGTTTTGTTTGGGGGACTTACCAGCTATGCTCAGGGATCATTCCTGGCGATGCTCAGAGAACCATATATCATGCCAGGGATCGAACTGGAGTTGGCCACATGCAAGGAAAGCACCTAAATGTCTGTACTATCTTCTGCCCCCCAGTTCTGAAACTTAAGTGTTTACCTCCACACTTGGAGCCAGCTATTTTACCAGATCAAAGGTATATGATTAACTCTCACTACTTCTTAGCTGTGGACAAGCTTGCTTCCTAGGAAAGGCTTAACATAAGGCAATCTGTTAAACTTTCTACTTTGAAACTACTTATCGATTATTTTCTTTTTTCTCCATTAGGTATGAAGACGATAAAAAAGAATGGGCTGGGATGTTGAAAGAAATACGCTATGCTTCTGGAGCTAGTTGCTTAGCAACACGTTTAAACCTCTTCAAACTTTCTAAACTATAAACCAGAGGTGGAAAAAAAATAATGCATTGGGAGATGATCTGTTTGGATAATAGGGTTTTAATTTATTTTTTTAAGTCTATACAGAGACATTAGCGTAGAAATTAACTAAGTTATTATCCAGAAGGTTAGCAGTGGTTCCCCAAACCTCACTGAATTATCAGTGGTAACCAGTGCTTAACAACATTTTCTACAAAAAAATTAGTGTGAACAGATTATTTCATAATATACCACTTGATTGTGGGGGCGGGGGAGCGTCTCTAAATTTGGGTTGTTTATTAATTCTTTCATTTGCCTTGTTAGGATAATTTTACACTTGTTTTCTATTACCAATGTTATCAGAGAATGAAATACATACATATAAATTTTTCAATGTTTAAGATATCAAAACGTTCTCTCGTGTTTTAAGATATACAAGAATCCTGTGTATTGAAGATTACATACCCTAAGACATTTGAAATGCTATTTAAGAAACAGAATAAATGGGCTTTATTTGAAGGTGAAAAGTCTCTACATAGCCTTAAATTCAAGCTGTCTTTCTCCACTTTTTCTGTGACACTGATATATTATTTGTGCATTAGGTACTGAACTCTGGTTATACAAGAAATTGGCCATTTAAAAAAAATTATTTATTTTGTTTTTTTCAGCCACATCTGACTCTGCTTAGGGGTTACACTTGGCTCTGCACTCAATAATTACTCCTGGCAGTGCCAGGGAACCATATAGGATGCAGGTTAGCCGAATGAAAGGCAAACACCCTACTTGTACTATCACTTTGGACCTGAAATTGGCCATTTTAAACAAGTATTTGAACCAAATTAAACACATTTTAAAGCTATGCTGAAGATTCAAGGCACTTTACCTACCACTTTATCTGGGAACAAAGTGAATTCACAGGGTCAATAACTCTGAAGGGGGCTATGTGCTCAGGAGTAACCCAGAAACACTTGGGAGACCCTAAGTAGTGCCAGGGTCAGCGGGTTGCAAGGCAAGCACCATAACACCTATACTATCTCTCCAGTCGATATTAAGAACTGTAAACTTTCAATCAAATATCTATTTATTTTAAAGGTATTCAGTTGGCTTTGAAATCAGTTTGACACTATAATTTTTCAACAGTGTTACGCCACTTCATTAAACAAGTTCAAAAGGACACACCATGATAACTTTATCAAACTATAATTTTCATCAAACTACAACTGTGATTTTCCTTCTTCAAATATACAGTTCCTTAGGTAGGCCATCCGTGCATCCTTTGTGGACAGGGCCATGGAGTTCCATTCAAAATGCGGGATCTGTAAAATAAGTAAATGTAAATAACAGCTTTGAAGGCATCACAAATAACTTGGGAGAAAACTCAAAAGCACTACTAAGCAGAATCATTGAACCAATTATAGAATCCAAGTCGGACACACTGGATTTCTGACAAAGCTGAAGAGACCTTTCCTGCTTCAGAAAATATATACAAATAAAAATTTCAGCGGGTAGGGCGTTTACCTTGCATGCGGCCCACCCAGGTTTGATTCTTCCGTCTAGCTACCGAGAGTATCCCACCCACATGGCAGAGCCTGGCAAGCTCCCCAAGGCATATTAGATATGCAAAAAACAGTAACCACAAGTCTCACAATGGAGATGTTGCTGGTAACCACTCGAGCAAATTGATGAACAACAGGACAGTGGCAGTGACAAGTAAGATAATTTTTTTTTGAGGCCACACCCAGTGGTATTTAGTAGTTCCTCCTGGCTCTGCACTCAGAAATTACTCCTGGAAGTGCTCAGAGAACCATATGGGATGCTGGAGATCAAACCTGGGTCAGCCTTGTACAAAGCAAGCATGTGACCTTCTGTACTATCTGTCTGGCTCCAAAGAAATGATTTTTGTTTTTTTGGTTTTTTTGTTTTGTTTTGTTTTGTTTTTTGCGTCACATCTGGTGATGCACAGGGGCTACTCCTGGCGGTGCTTGGGGGACCATATGGGATGCTGGGAATCGAACCTGGGTCGGGCCGTGTGCAAGGCAAATGTCCTACCCGCTGTGCTATTGCTCCAGCCCCAAGAAATGATTTTTGTTTACTATTTTTTTTTCAAAATTGGAGGTTACTCTACTTCAGAGATATTTTAATATAAGATTTTTTAATATGAAAAAAGAGGCAATTCTAGAACTGTCACATTAAAATAAAATACAGAGGCAGTCTGGCTTATTAAAAAGTGAATGTCGGCACGCATATGCTGCCCGAGCCCATATGTGCTTGCGCCCACGTGGCCGAGCACATGTGGTGCCCCAGCACATGTGTTGCCCGCATCTCCCCTCTTGAGATGTGTACTTTCATGCTTTTGTGTCTAATGCTAGGATGTGTGTAGGGACTCTCTCTCTCCGTCCTTGGAGAAGCGCATGTTCTTGAGTACGTTACTGTTTCTCTCTCTCTCTCTCTCTCTCTCTCTCTCTCTCTCTCTCCCCCACACACACACACATCTTAAAAATCCCCCAAATAAAATCTATTTACTTAAAAAAAAAAGTGAATGTCATACCTGAATTACATGATAACCCAAAATTTCCAAATGTCGTTTTTTCATAGTAGATTTTCCTTTCAAATGAGGGATATTTCTACAAAAAGCTTTTGAATCCAAAAATTCCAAGGAAACTCTACATAAGAGAGAAGTATTTATTTATGAGATTAAAATGAGAAACTAACTTAATTATAAACCTTTCAATAACAAGACTGTATCTTTATAAGCTAACAAAAGTCAAATGACTATGAATGAGTACATTATTTTTCTATTTTAGTAAATGATGACAGCTAAGTCTATTACTAACAGAACTACACTAAATTATAATAAATATCCCCAAGCTTTTATCCATTTGTTTCTTTGTCCAGTACATACTTATTGTGCAACTGCCATTACCCAGGGCATTGCAAATGACGTAATTATAAAACAACACAGTTTATATTCAAACAGAGAACATGTGCTATACAATAAGAAACTGGAAGGAATAGTAAGTGGCTAAGTGCTATCAAAAAGCAGAGAGGTAGGGACTCTGTTTCCACTAAGGACAACTAGAAGGCCTACTCTTTAGTTAGAGTGACTGCAGAGTGTGAAACAAAAGGACAGAAGGCAAAGGAAAAGCAAAGGCACAGAGGTAGAATGCGACTGCTACAAGTCTTGGTAAAAGCCCATTAAGTAGACCAAATTTAACATTTCAGTAACAAATTATAGAACAAAAAAACAGTTACCTCACAGCTCCTGGTGGGAGTCTTGATCCCATTATTTGGGTATTTGATTCCATTGGCATTTCTGATAGTTTTCCCAAGGTTATATTATTACTTCCATAAGAAAGAGGTTTTTTCCTCTTATCCAAAATACACTCAAAATCTAGAATCCAGTACAAGAATCAATAGTATAAATTATGTAAATTCTTACGGGTGAGAGTTTAAGATAACATTTTAAATATGTATACATACACACATGTACATACTTCGACACATCTGCACACAGAAAAGAACGATGCATACTCCTACTTATCCAGCTAACTTTATCAGATCTGGCCCTTAGGCTGGCTTAGGTGCCCCCCAGTACTACTGGGGAGTCCCCAAACAGAAAAACATAAACTCAAAAGATCTGGTCCAACTGCACCTTTTATTTGGGGGTGGAGGCTAGGAGAGGGTTAGGTGACACCAAGGGTCCAAATCCCAGTTCTTTGCTCAGGGGTTGCCTCAGCAATGCTCATGAGACCATGCAGTGCCAGGGATGAAACCATGGCTCGCTGCATACAAGGTTAAGTGCCTTAATCTCATACTATCTTGGGTCTCTGCATTTCTTTCAAAATTATTCAACAAAGTATTTTAATCTATATTTAACACTGAGCAAGTTCAAGTCACATAGAATAGTTTTTGTTTTGTTTCTGGAGGGTTTAGAGCCCATACCCAGCAGTGCTCAGGGGCTAATTCCTGTCTGTGTGCTCAAGAGTGACATCTGGCAGTGCTTGGGGGCCCACATGTGGTTCCAAGGATCTAACAGGGGTCAGCTGCATGCAAGCGCCTTACCTCCTGTACTAACTCTCCAGCCCTCTTTTAAAGTATTTTAGAGTTGCATTTTTTTCTGGGGGGAAGGATTGGTTCTTTTTTTTTTTTTTAAATGGTATCACAGATCAAACCCTGGTCTACTTAGTGGAAGGCATGCACTTTACCACTGAGCCATCTCCATGGTCTCAAGAGTATATTTTAATCCCCTTCAATCTCTTGGTAACATGTGGAGGACGTGAATTCATCTGAAAACTATAAAAGACAAAAATTCAAGCATATAACCTATTTTTCCCATAAAAATTCCACAGCAAGTAGTTTACATGGGAAATTTCTTTTCAGACAAATTCCAGCCAATAAATATAGAAGTAATGCTAATGTAGAATATTACCATTCTGTCACCCTTAATGCAGGATGAATTTAGGCAAACCAAATTTAGTTATTTTTTTGAGGGGGGGGTAAAGATGGAGCTACACCCAGTGGTACTCAGGGACTATTCCTGGCTCTTGCCAGGGACAGAACCAGGGCTGGCTGTATTGCCAAGCAAGTACCTTAGCCCCTGTACTGTCTCTCCAGCCCAAATTTTTTTAAAATGTTGTACTGTTATCCAGTGTACCAGCTTAGCCTAACTGCCATATATCAACTGCAATTAAATCAATGTCTTCTATAACTAGATAACTGAGAAACAAGGTCCACCAGATTAGAATGCAGTACATACCTATGGCAACCCATGTCCAGGTTGATAAGCTAACTTCCATTTCAGTTTATGTGTTGTGTGGGGCTAGAGATTTAACCCAGGGCCTTAAACAAGTGTTCGTTTCTAATAAGAACTTCAGACAATGGAGATAAGCAACATCCTGACTTAAGAAATTAAGTGGAGAGGACAGGACTTTTGAAGCTCCAGAAATGTTCAGTGGATCTGACTCTAGGACTTCAATTGGTGAAAGTCCTTAAAAACTGTTTTTATTTTCTGGGTTTTTTTTTTCCTTTTTCTTTTTGGATCACATATGGCAATGCTCAGTAGTTTCTCCTGGCTGTGTACTCAGAAATTATTCCTGGAAGTGCTTGGGGGACCACATAGGATGCTGAGGATCGAATCTCGATTGGCCACATGCAAGGCAAAGGCCCTATCCCGCTGTACTATCACTCTGGCCCCTTAAAAACTTTTTTGAAGAACACAAAATGCTCTTGGTTATCAAAGCTGAGCCTTGTGAACTTGGCCCTCCCCGTTGATCGTCGATTTGCTCGAGCGGGCCCAGTAACGTCTCCATTGGAGACTTTGTTGTTACTGTGTCTGGCATATCGAATACTCTCGGTAGCTTGCCGGGCTCTCCGAGAGGGGCGGAGGAATCGAACTCGGGTCGGCCATGTTGGCCGCGTGTAAGGCGAACGCCCTACCCGCTATGCTATTGCTCCAGCCGTGTGGTAGCGTGGCCGAGTGGTCTTGTGAACTTGAGGATTCATTATACCATTCTTTCTATTTTTAACTATTTGGAGTTTTTATTTTTCACTTTTTAAATTTGGGTGCCACACCCAGCAATACTCATGGGTTACTCCTGGCTCTGTGCTTAGATATCATTCCTGGCAGTGCTTGGGAGACCATATGAGATGCCAGGGATGGAACCCAGATCAACCGTGTGCAAAGCAAGTGCCTGGCCCGCTATGCTATCATTCTGGCCCATTTATTTGGAACTTTTCAAGGTAACTTTAAAAGCATTCTTTCAAAATTTAAATTCATGGAATTATTCTATCTAAGTCAACCTGGTCTTTTAAAACTACCCAATCTACCAAAAACTTACCTATTGTGTGGTAATAAGGCGTTAGAACAGAGGCCTTTACATAACTGGTTCCTCCTAGTATCTCTGCTAATATTTTATATATCTGCTGTTGTGCTTCATTCATGCTGCCAATATCTTTATGAAAATAAAAGTGAGTCCATTTAAGTTAACCAGTCTTAAATAAAAATCACTCCAATTCTATAGTTACAATTGAAAATATTTCCAACAAAAGCTTCAGCATAATAAGTGAATTATTATATGCAATGTCACATACACTGACAGTAAATCCAGTTGAAGAGTTTTGCCCTCTACCAAAAAGTTTTGTGTCCTAAATACGATAAATTCTTGTAATACAACCCTTATCCCCCAGAATGGTTCCATTAGATAAATCCCGGCACTCTTGATAATTCTGGTGTCATGGTTATATTTAACAATAATAATGTACTACTGAATTATTTAATTTAGAATTATACTCCATTATCTAGAATATCATGCTAAGTGAAATGAGTCAGAAAGAGAGGGACAGACATAGAAGGACTGCACTCATTTGTGCAGTATAAAACAATATAACATGAGGCTGCCACCTAAGGATAGTAGATAAAGATAGTAGATAGACTGCTCCATAGCTGGAAGCCTGCTTCATGAGCAAAGAGGAGAAGACAGCTGGAATAGAGAAGGGATCACTAAGAAAATGATGGCTGGAGGAATCAGTCGGAATGGGAGGTGTGCGCAGAAAGTAGATAAAGGACCAAACATGAAAACCTCTCATTGTCTGTATTGCAAACCATAAAGCCCAAAAGTAGAGAGATTATGAGGAATCATGTCTGCCATGGAGGCAGGGTGAGGGTGGGAAAGGGGGGTATACCAGGATATTGGTGATGGGGAATGTGCACTGGTGGAGGGATGGGTGTTTGATCATTGTGTGATTGTAACCCAAACATGAAAGCTTGTAACTATCTCACAGTGATTCAATAAATTTTTTTAAAAAGTAAAAAGAAAATTAAATTAAAAAATAATCTACCTTTCAGCTAAGGAGACCAGATGGTTAAGTAGTGACAAGAGGCAGCATTTAAAGAGTTCCGACCGCATTTTAAGCAAGGAATTTATTGTTTTACCTATAATACTTTTAAATAAAATGTATTTACAGTAATAATGTATAATATATACATGTAAGCTTTATTCATTTATTATATGTTTAAGTATAATTTGATCCTCATTGGCAGGGCTGTGTTCATTTCCATCTATAAGATGTAGAAACTGGATCAGTAAGCATTGCATGTGGTTTCCCTCAGGACTCTTGCTTGTTTTATGATACTATATGTTGGTCCAGGGAGATAAAACTGTACAGTCTATAATTGTTTTTAAATTCAATGGCCACATTTGAAGGGTTAAGATGTTTTGGTTGGCTGAATAAGCCATTCCTCAAATATTCTGAGTATTCTATGTTGCTTGTGATAAACTTGTATTTTTTTTTTCCTTTTGGGTCACATCCAGTGATGCTCAGGGGTTACTCCTGGCTCTGCACTCAGGAATTACTCCTGGCGGTGCTTGGGGGACCATATGGGATGCTGGGAATTGAACCCAGGTCGGCTGAGTGCAAGGCAAACGCCCTACCCGCTGTGCTATCGCTCCGGCTCCCTGAACTTGTATTTTTGGCTCTTCAGAGTCTATATTTTGGCTCTTAATACATTATATTTAAGCTCTTAATAAATTAAACTAATCATTAAAAAAATGAATTATACTCCATTATCTGTCCCGAAGAAAACACAAACCTTTACGATAGTATTGCTGACAGAAGCGGTCATGAAACCAGGGAATCTGATACTCGGGGCATTCCAAACACACTGCTCTATTCAGTTCCATGAGACGGAACTGGACCCTCATCTTCAGAGATGGACATAACACTGAAATCAAAAATAAAATATCAAATTTTATTCTTCTAGTGTGAATTTTATTTTTCTATTTTTTATTTTGTTAGTCTGAACTAAGCAAAGAGTCCATTTTCACAAAAATTTATCCCCATCATTATTTTTACTCCTAGCATAAAATCATTTCATTTGCACACATATGCTTTAGATTTTAAACTTATTACATTCAGTGGCACGATTAGGACCAATTCTTATGTTACTTTCCGACTACATTCTAAAAAAATAACATGGAAGACTTTTCACTTTTATTACTCTCCTCATTTAGGAATCAGATGAGATCAATGATTCACGCACACAGTGATGATAATTAAAGTAACCTACAAAACAGTAGACATTACAGAAACACTAAAAAGCTTAAGACTTCAACAATACTTAATGACATGGAAAATGATAAAGGACAACATACAAAGTGAATACATAAATAATCTTAACTTTATTTTAAAATCAGAAACAGGAGGGAAAAATAGTAAAGTAGGTAGGGCATTTGCCTTGCATGTAGGTGACCCAGGTTCAAACTTTGACATCCCATATGGTCCCCCAAACCTGCCAGGAGTCAGCCCTGAGCATCACCTAGTGTGGCCCAAAAACAAAAACAAACAAATAAAAAAAAAACTGTCAAAAAAACAAAAAACAAAAAATATACACAGAAGAATAGGAGAGAGAACTAGAAACACGGCCAAAAGGGCAAGAGCACAAACTTTTATGCTGGGGGCCCCAGGTTAGACCCCCCAGGTCTACACAGCCTCCCTCAAGCATCACTTGTACCAACCCCCAAGCACTGAGCTGGTTTAGGCTCCAAGCACTCAAGCACTGCTGGGTGAGGCCCCAAGACAACCCCCAAGAAAGAGGCCAAAAAGATAAAATAAAATATTCCAAAGCATTAAAAGTAGAGTTTCAGTTGTGGTATAAGTAAGCCTTTCTTTTCCACATTACCCTTTTCTGTATTTTGCGATTTTCTACAATAATCCGGAAATACTTTTATAAACAAAACACTAGTACTTAAATGCTTCAGAATAGGTAGAACTAAAACTTTTTTCCAATTTTAATAATTTTTCATTTTTAATTATTATAATTTAGGTCTTGGTAGTTTGCTGGGCTCTCTGAAAGGAGGAGAGGAATCGAACCCGGGTCGGCCGGGTGCAAGGCAAACTCCCTACTCACTGTGCTATCGCTCCAGGAGAGCCCAGCAAGCTACCGAGAGTATCCCGCCTGCACCACAGAGCCTGGCAAGCTCCCCATGGCGTATTCGATATGCCAAAAACAACAAGCCTCACAAGGGAGACGTTACTGGTGCCCGTTCAAGAAAACTGATGAACAACAGGAGGACAGTGGTACAGTGGACAGTGGTACAGTGGTATAATTTAGATTATATGTTTATAATAATGTAAAAATTTATTATTTTGATGTATTAAAGTTACTATACCTTCACCACTACCAAAATGTCAAAGCCCTACTACCTCTTCACCCCCGCTCTCACCCCTCTCCCTTTCTTAGGAATCTCAAGAACTCAAAGTTGGATATAAAGTTCAACTGTGACAGTACACTAAAATGTAAATACATACATTCAAGTTGAGAATCCAATTTGGCCAGGAATTTGATGTTAAAAATTGCCTTTAGCAGATCTTCTGGAAAATATTCAAGGGTGGCAAAAGAGAAACCAAGAAATACTAAAACCAGAGGATCCAGTTTACCTAAAATGAAGATTTTCAAAAATTATAATATTATTGTAAAGTCAAAGAAAAAAGAAAACGTATTTTAAAAATTAAATTGTACAACTTTCTCATATGTAAAAAGGACATAATTCAGGTTAAACCAAACTTTTTTTTAAACTGATACACAGTTTTGATGAAACTAACCTATATGATTACAAGTCAGGATAGTGGAGAACTAATTACATTTAGGTATAACGCAGGAAAGAGGGAAGCGAGAAGGGTACTGTGATATTCTACTTGAAATTATTCCTTGGGTAATTCAATTTGTATAAATATTATATAGTAAGTGTGTGAATATTTCTGTATTATTAAATTTCTATAAAAAGTTTGAAATTGCCTTGAAAAGAAGTAGAATTAAAATGAAAGATGGAGGCTGGAGAGATTGCACAGCAGGTAGGGTGTTTGCCTTGCACACGGCCGACCCGAGTTCAATTCCCAGCATCCCATATGGTCTCCTGAGCACCGCCAGAGGTAACTCCTGAGTGCAGAGCCAGGAGTAACCCCTGTGCATTGCCAGGTATGACCCCAAAAGAAAAATAAATAAATAAATAAATAAAATGAAAGATGACTTATTTATGTCATTCTTACTTTAGACAACCAGGCAGGCTACCGAATGTGACCTGCCCACATGGCAGAGTCCGGCAAACTCCCCGTGGTGTACCCAATATGCCAAATACCAGTAACAATGATGGGTCTCATTCTCCTAACTCTGAAAGAGCCTTGAATATGGCACTTTTTAAAATCTCAGGGCTGGGGCGAAGGAGACATTACTGGTGCCTGCTCGAGGCAATCAACGAACAACAGGATGATCGTGATCGTGACTTATTTACGTCAAATAGGTAATTGGTACCCACAACATGTGATGCACCATTCTAAGCATGTAGTATGCATTAGTACACTGTCTCACTCAGTATTTGGTACATGAGCGAATACACAAAGCTGCAGACAAGCGGGATGAATTGCCCAGTGTCACACAGTGAGCAGTGGAGAGTGCAAATCCAGCTCCTGAGAATGGCCCATTGGTCTATGCTGCTATCAGGCACTGGGATCTCAGTGCTGAGCTACAGATTTCTATGAAGCCTGGGTTTCACCTTGGTCCTCCTCCCTAATCTGTCATCTCTTTTACAAAAAATTATATGTCAAGCAGGAAAAAGAGGTGCCAGAACAATAGTACAGCGGGTAGCGCGTTTGCCTTGCATGTGGCTGTCCCACGGTTCAAACCCCAATATTCCATATGGTCTCCCAAGGACAGCCAGGATTGATTCTTGAATGCAGAGTCAAAGTAATCCCTGTGCATCACCAGGTGTGGCCCAAAAATAAACAAACAAATAAATAGACACAAGAAAAAGAAACAGGAGAAAATGACATAACACTCAACATTGGTGGTTTTTTTGTTATAAAAAATATTGGTGACACCAGCGATACCACCTCTGGGAATATATCCCAAGGGTGCAAAAAGTACAGTAGAAATGACATCTGCACCTGTATGTTCATTGTAGCACTGTTCACAATAGCCAGAATCTGGAAACAACCTGAGTGCCCAAGAACAGATGACTGATTAAAGAAACTTCGGTGAGAATAGCTGAGATAAGTACCAGGAGGTCTGCTCCACGGCTTGGAAGCTGGCAGCAGATGCTGGGGGAAAAGGTAGCTCAGATAGAGAAGGGAACACCAAGTAAAGGGTGTTTGGAGGACTCACTCGAGATGCAAGATATGTGCTGAAAGCAGACTAAAGACCGAACATGATGGCCACTCAATACCTCTATTGCAAACCACAACACCCTAAAGAAAAGAGAGAGCAAAAGGGAATGCCCTTCCACAGAGGTGGGGCGGAGTGGGGGGGATGGGGTCGGGGGGGTGTGAGGGCTACTGGGTTCATTGGTGGTGGAGAATGGGCACTGGTGAAGGGATGGGTACTCGATCATTGTATAACTGAAACCCAAGCATGAAAGTTTGTAAGCCTTGGTGCTTCACTAATAAAAAAAAAAAAAAGAAAAAGAAACTTTGGTGCATCTACACAATGGAATACTATGCAGCCGTTAGGAAAGACAAAGTCATGAAATTTGCTTATAAGCGGATAGCCGTGGAGAGTACCGTGCTAAGTGAAACGAGTCAGAAAGAGGGACAGACATAGAATGACTGCACTCATTTGTGGAATATAAAATATCGTAATATGAGACTAACACCCAAGGACAATAGAGACAAAGGCCAGGAAGATGATTCCACAGTTGGAAGTCTGCCTTGTGAGTAGGGTGAGAAGGCGGCAGGGAAAGAGAAGGGATCACTAAGTCAATGATGGTTGGACAGATAACTCAGGATGGGAGATGTGTGCTGAAAGTAGATAAAGGACCAAACATGATGGCCCTCTCATTATCTGTAATTTGTATTGCAAACCATAAGTAGAGAGAAAGAGTAAGGGGACAATTGTCTGCCATAAAGACAGGAGGAGGGATAGTGGGGACACTGGTGGTGGAAAATGTACACTTACGGAGGGAGGGGTGTTGGATCATTGTATGACTATAACTCGAACATGAAAGTTTTTTACCTATAGCTCATGGTGATTCAATTAAAAAAATCAAAAAAATTGGTGACAAGAAAATATGATTATGGACTGAGTAGATAACAGGTAGTAGTTGCTCATTTTGGTTTTTTTTTTTTTTTAGGTTTTGGGGTCATACCTGGTGATGCTAAAAGGTTACTCCTAGCTGTGTGCTTAGGAATTACCCTTGACAAGGTTGGGGACCATATGGCATGTGCTATCCAGCCCAATTGTTTATTTTTAAAAGTGTAACACTGATATTATATATGAGAATGTACTGAGCTTTGTAACTGATATTTCAAGTGGTTCATCATACAAACAGAGAAAATGTGGCAAAATAGTCACTAATCAATAGTAGACTATGGGAGGCAGAACAACAGTATAGCAGGTAGGCGTTTGCCTTGCACGTAGCGGACCTAGGTTTGTCCCCAGCATCCCCTATGGTCTTCCAATCATCAGCAGGAGTAATTCCTGAGTACAGAGCCAGGAATCCTGAGCATCAGCAGGTGTGGCCCAAACAAAATATCTGGTCACTGTCCTCCCGTTGTTCATCAATTTGCTCAAGTGGGCCCATCATGAGACTTGTTGTTACTGTGTTTGGCATATTGAATACATCACAGGTAGCTTGCCAGGCTTTGCCATGTGGGTGAGATACTCTCGGTAGCTTGCCAGGCTCTCTGAGAGGCGCGGAGGAATCGAACCCAGCTCAGCCAGGCTGGCTGTGCGCAAGGCAAACGCCCTACCACTGTGCTATCACTCCAGCCCTGGCCCAAAGATAAAATTTAAAATTTATAATATGGGAATAGAGATGTTTGTTATATTAGTCTTTCAACTTTTCTCTATAATTAAAAAAAGTGTAACAACCAAAAGTCAGAAGGGGGAAAAAATTCCAAAAATCTTTTCCCCAAGTCAATGCCAAACAAAAACAACAACAAATAAAACAAACAAAATAAAAGACCAAAAAACACTGGAGGATATGCTTGAGTGTAAGAGAACTAGAGACAACAACCAAATGCAATGAGTAAACCTTGGCTGGATCCTGGGTACTAATAGCTACAAGGGTCCGAGAGGCAGCTCAATAGGCCCAGGTTGGCATGCTGAAGGCCTATATTCACTCTCCAACACGACATGATCCTCCAAAAACTGTTGGGAATGACCCCTGAGCACTCAGCCAGGAATAGCCCCTGTATCAGCAAGTATAGTGCCAAAACAAAAAAACAATAAAAAATTACTACTGTAAAAGGGATGTTGGGAATAATGAAGGAGATTTGGGCATGAAAAGAATATGAGAGGACTAATTTTTTGCTTAAGTGCATTAACCATATTATGGTAATATAGGACAAGTTATCATTCTTCTTTTTTTTTTTTTGCTTTTTGTGTTACACCGGCGATGCACAGGGGTTACTCCTGGCTCATGCACTCAGGAATTACTCCTGACGGTGCTCAGGGGACCATATGGGATGCTGGAAATCAAACCCTGGTCGGCCATGTGCAAGGCAAATGCCCTACCCTCTGTGCTGTTGCTCCAGCCCCCAAGTTATCGTTCTTAGTAAAAGAAGTCTATGTAATTAAGGAAATAGGATTATAGGTCTATCACTTTAAAATGATGAGAGAAGAACAATAAAGCATACATGATAAAATGTTAACAATGATTTAATCTAGTAAGTATGCAGGTATTACTTATTCTATTTCAATTCTCTCCCTGTTAAGACATTTTGTATAAAGAAATAGATACAAAAATTTTTTGGTCTAAAATGCATGGCTATTACAGTTACTCTTTAGGTGAGAGCTCTCATACCTCTGTAACATATTACCAAGCAATATACCTACCTAAGTGAGAATTAAGGTGTTGAATGAAAGTTCCAAGAAACTCATCCCTTTGAAGCGGGTCATAGTTCAAGATGCTGAATGGAAGAATAGCAGCAAGCATCGAAAAAGGATGGATCTGTATAAACAGAACAACATTACAATTTCAAACCCTGTAAAACAAAGTTTTAACCTAAATATTTTTTTAGAGATCTTTTTCTAACATCCCTATAAATAAATGAACATGCTTATTGTTAAATGATAAATGTACACTCCATTTATTAATACCTACTATAAATCCACCTAACCCCACAACTACTAGTAAATTTAAATACTAAGACAGATAAATTAATTAGATAATCTACAAACTAATTCTGTGAGATGTAAGATCCTATTCCACAATATATAGGTCATTAAAATGAGTAGAAATTAGGGGCTGGAGAGACAGCACACAGCAGACACAGGTTCAATCCCTAGTACCCCATATGGTCCTTGGAATCCTGTTAATAGTGATCCCTGAACACAGAGCCAAGAGTAAGCTCTGAGCACTACTGAGTGTGACCAAAAACCAAAATATAAATGAATAAAATAAATAGAAATTAGTAACACTAATTTTCACTATCAGAGATTCATCAAAAAATATAAAAAGAAAAGTGTCCTAGTTTGTAACGTCAGAATTTTATTTTTTCCTTTTTTTTTTTAATTTTGTTTTGTTTTTTTGTTTTGGAGTCATACTTGGTAGAGCTTACCAGTGCTTGGGGATCTGTGTCATATTCAGAACCAAATCCTGTACACATGAAGCATATACTCAGCCCACTGAGCTATTAATCTGACCCAGATTTTCTTCTATTATTCATTTCTTAAATTTTATTATTTGATTATCTACCCGGGTTGGAACGATAGCACAGCAGTAGGGCGTTTGCCTTGAACGCGGCCAATCCGGCAGACCCGAGTTTGATTCCTCCGCCCCTCTCAGAGAGCCTGGCAAGCTACCGAGAGTATCTAGCCCACACAGCAAAGCCTGGCAAGCTATCCATGACGTATTCGATATGCCAAACACAGTAACAACAAGTCTCACAATGAAGACATTAGTGGGTCGCTCGAGCAAATCGATGAACAACAGGAGGACAGTGCTACAGTGCTACAGATTATCTACCCAATAGTTAATAAATGCCAGACACCATGTTCAAACAAAAGAAAATGGACTTTTACTTTAATTTATGATAAATACTATCTCTAACTAAAAGATTTGTCTGGAGGTCAGAGAGATAGCATATCAGGGAAATCATCTGCCTTACATGTGGCTGACCCAGATTGATTCCCAGCTCCATATATGGTCCCCTGAGCCTACCAGGAGTGATTCCTGAGCACTGAACCAGGAGCAAGCCCTGGACACTACTTGGTATGGCCACCCAAAACTAAATAAATAAAAATAAAACTTTGCCAGTGAGCTTTTTCTCATATAATCCAGAAAGTAGCATTTTATAAAGTCTAGAAAAGAACTTTTTATAAAAGAAATTTTATAAGTCTAAGAAAGACCATGGAACCTGATCATTTCTGTTTACATATTTATCTCACACTTTTTCTTTTTTTTTTTATATTTTCTTATTTATATACCACACCCAGTGTTGCTCAGGGGCTACTCCCTACTCTCAAAGCTTGGGGCTCATTCCCAGAAATTCTTAGGGGACTACAAGGTGCCAGGGATTGCACCAGGCTCCCGCATTTAACCTGCATTCCAGCCCTTTGAGTCATTTTCCCAGCCCTGTCTCACACTTTTGTTATTTTGTTTTGGGTCACACTTGGCAGTGCTTGGGGTCACTCTTGGCTCTGCTCAAAGGAAGATGCAGTGCCAGGGCTCAAACCAGTATCTCCTATATGCAAAGCATGTGCTCTAGTCCACTGAATCATCTCTGATCCTTAACTTTCTTCTTATAGGGTGCTACACCTAGCGGTACTGGGTGGACCAGGATACTCAGCTCAGTCACATGACCTGATGGTTTGAAATTACACCCAGCCATTCTGGGATGGAGGGAATATCAAAAATGTAAGCCACAATCTCACACATGCTAGGGATGTGCTCGGTAACTTGAACTATTTCCCTGCCCCCCATAAGTTGTTTTTAAATACTAAAAATAATATCTAGAATATTCCACAATCCTAATACTATAAGTGTTGCTTTAATTATTTCCTTTAAGCTGATAAATTTTGACTACTGACCTTAACAATATTGTAATGAATCCAAGGTTGATATCCAATAGCCTAAAACCTACAGTCCTGAAGGATGAGGCATTAAGGGGAGGAACAATCACTGCTGAACCAAACATTGGACCTTAATTTTTAAATTTCAAATTCTAATCAAGTTCTCAAAGTATGGACCGAGAGTTACATTTAAATGTTTATGATTTTTTAAAAGAAATTGACAACTATCAAAAGTTAATGAATCACATTTCAATCTCACCTTTTCAATATGCTGAGTGACCACAGAGGCTATCTTATCAAGTAGCAAAGAACTGAGGTAGTTAGTTCTAGAAATGAAAGTTGCAATTCCTGTAACATTTGTGTAATTAATCTCATCTACCAAGCGCTCTAAAGTAACCACTGCTTCCTCAAGAAGTGCCTCGGAAAACCAGTCTCCTTTTAAAGTTTTAAGCTCTTCCCACAACAAATTCAAATCATTGCATTTTTGTAGTCTCTGGAGGCCATACTGATCTAATTTTTGAAGTAGTTTCAGTTGTTTCCCAGCTAGATTATCCAAATACATATGATCGTAATGGATCCATCTTAAAACAGAGGTAGCTAAAACATTTATATCATTGAGGTCACACTGTGGTAAAACTTCTTCAATCCGAGACAGCCTTGCTTCATCTAGCTGAGGAGAAGGAAGCAGAGAAATAGCACTAACCAGTGCAGAAATATCACTTGGTATAATGCTAGTTTTCAAATGACTGTAAAGGAAGGGGAGAAACATGGAAAGACAAAATTAATACATCAGTAACAATCGGCCCAGTATACATGTATGAAATATGAACACATAATAGCTATAATAGGCAAGTTGGGCTTAAAATACAAGATAATTTTTAAAGGGTTAGGTCAACATAAGGATTACAGGTCTACTAAGGGTTACAGAGGGAAAGCCTTGAGATGTTCTAAAGCACAGTCCAAGATTTTATTTTTTTGTTTTGGGGCCACACCTGGCAGTGCTCAGGGAAAGGCAAGCACCCGACCCATGTACAATCTCTTCAGCCCACCCATTTCTTATAAAGGTACTTAGTTGGTTCTTTTTTTAATGATATCAAACTGAGTATCATTTTATATCCTAAAATGTTTAGTGTTGAATATTGTGATTAGTATGCTAATTTTTTTAAATAGGGCCAGAGAGGACAGTGGGTAAGGCACTTGCCTTGCCATGTTTTTATTATTTTTTCCCCTTCTTTCATAGTTGAGGATCATGAACATATAATAATCTGCACGTTAAATCAATTTTTAATTTTTGCTTTGCACCTGTATGTTAATTTTTAATTTTTGTTTTGTCTTAGGGCCATACCCAGCAGTGTGTAGGGCTTACTCCTGGCTCTGCACTCAGGGATCATTCCTGGTAGGGCTTGGGGAACCATATGGAATGCCAGGGATCAAATCCAGGTCAACCTTGTGCAAGGGAAGCACCCTACCTGCTGTACTATCGCTGAAACCCTTAATGTTCTCAAATTTTGACAATTTTTTTTTCTTTTTTGGGTCACACCTGGTGATGCACAGGGGTTACTTCTGGCTTTGCACTCAGGAATTACTCCTGGTGATGCTAAGGCAAACACCCTACCTGCTGTACTATCACTCCAACCCAGCTTTTGACAATGTTATGATATTTATCTTAAAGGAAACTCCTTCTGGAGATTCCTTTAAAAAATCAGAAACTCAGAAATCCCTTAAGATCCAACAACAGCATTCCTAGGCAGTTATCCAAAGGACATGAAGAACCATTTAATTAAAAAAGATAGTGTTCTGGTGCCTGCTCGAGCAAATTAATGAGCAACGAGAGGACAGTGCTACAGTGCCACAGTGTACTTAACAACATAGTCAAAGCAGTCAAAGCAGAATCAACCAAAATGCCCATATGACACATACCGCCAACTGACATCTGACTGGACAAAGAAGCTGTGATATACAAACCCAATGGAATACTACTCCTCCATTAAATAACATCAAATTCTAATGAGAAAAAAATGCATAGAATCTGAGAAGATAACTCAGAAAATAAAAGATAGTTACCAGGTGGTTTCACTCATTTTTGGAATAGAAATAAGTAAAAAACTGACAACAATAAAAAGAAAAAACTGAGCCAAGGATGCGGTTCAGTAGCAAAGTTCACGCCTGTCGTGCAAGAGACCTGAGTTCAGTCCCTGGTACCACTGAAATAAAAAACCTAACTCCTCTACCCAGTAAAAACTGCTGTGGTAACCACGGGGATAAGTGCGAAGTGAAAAACGGATAGGACAGTCTTTTGGAGGTGGTAAGATGGCACTGGAACTTTGGTGGATGCAGTAAGTTGGGGGGGGGTGTGTGGAGGAAGAGTGAGAAAGATTAAGCTGTATCTCTGAAATTCTCTAGTTATTTTAACTTATTTTAGTACCACCAAGGATTTAAGCCAGGTCTCACATGTGCAAGGTATGACCTTTATGGCATCTACTAACAACAAAAACAACAACAAAAAAAACCCACAAAAACCATTAATTCAAAAAGATATTTGCACAACTAATGTTCACTGTGGTGCTATTTACAATAGCCAAGGTTTAGAGAAAACCCATGTGCTGAATAAGAGATGAATGGCTAAAGAAATCATGGTACACTACTAAATTTATAAGAAAAAATGCAATCTTATAAGAGAGAGATTGCTCAAAGGGCTGGAGAATGTGCTGCTTGAACAAGGCCCCGAGTTCAATCCCCACCACTGCACAACCTCCCAACACCACCAGATATGGCTATGGAGTCCTCTAGCACCAACAGATTAGAGCAGTGCTACACTGCCATCCTGAGCACCAAAATTTCAAGCCCATATTAGCAGGTGAAATATCCCCAGAAGGAGTTTCCAGGTTTCCAAGCAATACCAGGCAGCCCCCCATAAAATTCACATACATATACATCTAATAGTGAGAGAATCATCTCTAGCAGTAGAGCACATGCCTAGCATGTTACAAGACCGAGTTCAATCCTTCACACTGTGTGGCCCCCACGATCCTGTATTGCTAAGTGTAGCCCTGGTGACTCCTGAGCACTGTGAATCCCAAACACTGTCAGGCCCACACAGCAGTCTGAGCACTGCAGGGGAGACCCCTCTAGAAAATAATTAAAAATGCCCAAGCAAGGGAATTCAAGCTTGTGTCAAACATCCCCATCGATATAAGTCAAATTCCTTACACCCTCCCATCTAAAAAATCAATAAAGAGCAAATTTTAATTTTTAAATTATATAAAAGTAACCTCTGTAAAAGGAGAATTTCTACAACCTCTACATGATCTCTTTTCTTCCCTGGTGACACTTCTTCAAATTTCAAAAGGTACTTAGACACTTGTGTTTATTTACAACACCAGTATAGACCCAGCAACCTAGCTAAAATTAGAAAATTAAAAACTACCCAATGGAGCAGCAGGCATTTCTTGCATTCTCCCGCTGGCACTTAACGAGCACAGCCACATAAGAAAACTGTTTATCTTTTGTCGATGAGCAACAGATAAAAAATGATAAATTATGAACCAACAATCATAGATCATGGATTTTGGTAAATATCCAAGACATGTGTACAGATGTTTACTGAGAGATATGTACACAGATGTTAATAACAGCAGTATCTGTAGTAGCCCCAAACTGGAAACAAAGCAAATACTCATTAAAAGTAAATGAGTGCCAGGAGGACTGTCCTACTATTGGAAGCTTGTCACAAGTGCGGGTAAGTAGGAGAGGGAAATTGGGATAGAGAAAGGACCATGATGACAATAACAGTTGGCAATGACAACTCTGGAGAAGAATTGCATGCTGAAAGTAGAGGGGTATACATGATGACCTTATGTACCTATATCAGAAACTATAATGACCAAATCAGGAGGGAAGCAGAGAGAGAGACAGACAGACAGAGATAGAGACAGAGACAAGAGACAGAGACAGAGACAGAGGGAGGGAGGGAGAGAGAGAAACAGAAACAGAAAGAGACACAGAGAGAGGGAGGGAGACAGAAAGAGGGAGAGAGGGAAGGAGAAAGAGGGAGAGAGAGAGGGAGAAAGAGAGAGAGAGAGAGAGAGAGAGAGAGAGAGAGAAAGGAAAAGTATCTGCCATAGAGGCAGACTAGGGGTGGGGGATAGAAGGAGAGAAGTTAGGGATATTGTTGGTAGGAAATGTACATAGGTGAAGGGATGATGTGTGTTGAAACATTGTATGACTAAAAAGGACAACTTTGTAACTGTTTATCTCACAGTGAATTAATAAAAACAATTTTTTTAAGAGTAGACTGATCATTTGTTTTGTTTTGGCAATGCTCAGGGGTTACTCCTGGATCTCACTCAGGAATCACTCCTGCCCTACTCAGGGTACCATATGGGATACTGTAGATAGAACCCAGGTCAGCCATGTGCAATGCAAGAAAGCACCTTATCTACTGCGCTATCTCTCTGGCCCCTAGACTGATAATTATTTTTATATATCCTGACAACAAAACACCACGAAGGATAAAAGCATGGGTACATCTCAGAAACAAAACTGAGCAAAAAGAGGCAGACTCAAGACAGAAAAAAAAAAATCATGTAATTAAAAATACTGAGCTGGAGTGATAGCACAGTGAGTAGAGCGTTTGCCTTGCACGTGGCTGACCCAGGTTCGATTCCTCCGACCCTCTCAGAGAGCCCAGCAGGTTACCGAGACTATCCCGCCCGCATGGCAGAGCCTAGCAAACTCCCCATGGCATATTTGATATGCCAAAAACAGTAACAACAAGTCTCACAATGCACAATGGAGATATTGCACTGGTGCCTGCTCGAGCAAATCAATGAACAACGGGAGGACAGTGCTACAGGGCAATTAAAAATGTGGGTTGGACCCAAAAGGAGAGAGAGAACCAAAGGGAATGCCCTGCCATAGAGGCAGGGTGGGATGGGGGGGATGGGGATGGAAGGGATATTATCCATGGTGGTGGAAAATGGGCACTGGTGGAGGGATGGGTATTTGATCATTGTGTAATCTAAACCCAAGCACAAAAAATTGTAAATCTACAACTATACCTCATGGTGTTTCACTAATAAAAATTTTTTTAAAAAAGTGGGTTGGTGTGGGGGTGGGGCAGAACAATAGTACAGTGAGTAGGTCATTTGCCTTGCAGGCAGCAGACCAGGTTCAATTCCTGGAATCCCATATGGTACCCCAAGCATTGCCAGTTAGGAGTAATTCCTAAGTGCAGAGCCAGAAGTAACCCCTGAGCATTGCTGGGTATGGTCCAGAAATTTTTTTAAAGTATCGATATGGCCCCAGAGTTCACTGAGTGTAGTCCTTACAATAACAGCAGCAAAGTTAATTTGAGCCTGGGATGTGTCTCAAGTGGTACAGCACATGCTTTGCACAGGCAAGGTCCTGGCTTCAATCCTGGACACCCAGATGTGGTCTCTGCAACACTCTGAGGGTTAAGGAGAAGAATGTGGGGAAGGAATAGGGGTTATGTATATTTTATAGAGAGAGACAGAGGAGATCTAGACATTTACAGATCTATGTTTTTATTTTAATGTGTTTTTTAAAAAACACATTATTGGCCAGGTAGTATAGTGGGTAGGGTGTTTGCCTTATATGCAGCTGACCCAGGTTCTATACTGTGCATCCCATATTGTCCCCCGAGCCTCATCAAGAGTGATACCAGAGTACAAAGCCAGGAGTTAGCCTTGAACACAGCTGGGTATGACCCCAAAAGAAAATAAGCAAACAAAAACATTATTACATGAACTGTTTGCATTCCCAGAATTGTTTCAGAAGCCATTTACACTAGTTTAAACTTGTTTAATTAGATTGCGCTTCTTCTAGAAGAGAAAGCAGTGTGGCTTTTGCGATTATTCATTCCCTAGGGAACTCATCACCCTACTGGCATCATTTTTATTCAAACATACCAAGCACTGGCAGAATGGGGTGAAAGAAGTTAGGTTTTTTAACATTTTAATAGCAAGTAATCCAGAGCCTGAGGATAGTACAGCGGGTAAGGCACTTGCCCTGCATGCAGCCAAGCAGCGTTCAATCCTGTCTGAATGGTCCCCTTAGCCCCACCAAGTGATTCCTAGAGCTCTTAGCAGGTGTGGTCCATAAATAATAATAGTAAGTTATTGTTTACTACAATAAGTAATCCAATTACATCTCTCAAAGTTCTAACAACTCCATACACAATTCAATAAAATTCATTATAAATTATAAAATCAAAGATTGAAAAGACATTTTTCTTTGAATCTTACCTAAGCAGTAATTCTCTGAGTTTCATAAAAAGCTCTTTACTTTGAAAATGTAGATAAATCAATGCTCGAATTATCTTCAATAACTCTATTGGTTTATAGCTATCCAAATGTTTATGCAGAGTTGAAGCAATTCTAAAAAGAAAAAAAACATTACAGCCAGATTTCACTTGGGAGTTTTTTTTTAAATAAATTTATTTCTTTATTTTTGCTTTTTGCATCACACCCAGAAATGCACAGGGGTTACTCCTGGCTCTATACCCAGGAATCACTCCTGGGCAGTGCTCAGGGGACCATATAGGATTCTGGGGATCGAACCCGGGTCGGCCGCGTGCAAGGCTACCCAGTCCAGCCCCTCGGAAGTTGTTTTACAAAAGATATTATACTCTGTGCTAGCAAAATAGCAATGAATGAGAAAAGGTTTTCTATTCTTGAAAACTGTCTCAAGATGATAACAGAAATGCAAACAAAACAATGAAAAAGTTCTATCAAGATGTGAATGAATAGTTACTATTGATAGGAAAAGAGGAGAAAAAAACATATCGCTTTAATTCCTAATTAAAAGTCTTATCAAATAGCCATTGATTTCCACATCTTTCCCCTTAAAACAAAATCTTTGCCAAGGATTACTAACAATTAGGAAAACTGATTTTCTTTCCCTTCTTCCCTCCTTCTTTTCTTCCTTTCTTCTTTTCAAAGCTGTCAATGCTCAGGGCAACAGATGCAGTGCCAGAGATTGAACTCAGGTATTTAAAAGCCATGGGAAATGCTAAGAAGCAGTACATTGTAGGAAACAGAATAGATGTAATATTTTTTTAAATATTAAGATAATGAAAATTAAGTATATTTATCTAAACTATTTTTTTGAATATCAAATTAACAACAATCAAAAGAAGTTCATGTATATTATAATTTCAAGGTAACAATTGTGTTGTGAAAAAACTCAAGTCCACCGAAGATGTTACCGCTTATCCAAAAAGTACTCTTTTGAAAAGCAGGGTCCTAGGGGCCAGAGCAAAAGTACAGCAGGTAGGTTGCCTATCTTGTACCAAGGTTTGATCTCAGCACCACATATTGTACCCAGAGCCCAGGAGTGATCCTTGGTCACAGGCCAGGAATAAGCCCTGAGCATTGCCAGTGTGGAGCAAAAACAAAATATGAAAAAAAGAAGAAAGGAAAAGCAGGCTCCCAGTGGTCAGGGAGGAGCTCAATGGAGGACTTCTATGCATGAGGCCCCGGGTTCAATCTCTGGCATGACCAAAAAAAAAATGTGTGGTTCTGTTCTATGCTCTCCACTTTATTCAATCTGCTTGAAAGGAAGAGCAAAGGAAACACAAAACTGTAAGGATTTTGAAATCTCTATTTTGAAAAACAAAGTGCTGAGAAAATAAAAGCTTTAAATGTTACTTCCTGGTTTCTTTAAAACAACAGCTAGATTATTTGAAAAACATATTTTCCTAAAACAATATTGTTCCTAATGAGTGATGACTAAGCTGAATGCCATAAATTTCAAGAAAGCAGTTTTTGGAGGGGAGATAGCCCAAACATGTTTTGCCTGAGGGAAGCTTAGATTCAATTCCTGGCACTGTGTGGTCCTCCAGGCAATGCTGTAATTGTCCCCAGGCACTGCTGTCAGCTCTAGGCCCTGAGTACCCTGGTATGGCACCCAAACAGAATCAAAAGTCCTACTTTTTAATCAGACGTGAATTTCTGCTTTCCATCTCTTCCATTGCTCCTATCACTGCTAGGGCTTGCTGGCTTGTCAGCTCCTCTGACATCAATAATAAAGTTGCTTGAAGTCTAGAGGCACAAAGAAAAAAAAAAGTCTTAACATCAAAAAACTGATAATTTATAAAATGATATTTAAATAACAGTTCCTAGATCACAAATAGAAAAGAAATAACAAAATGAATTCAATATATGAATTCAATATAAAATTCTAATTTTCTCCCAATACATTTAGGACCAATGTAAAATATGACTGAATAAAGAAAAAGTATTTCCATGGAAAGTATTACGTTAAGCGAATGAGTCAGAAAGAGAGGGATAGACATAGAAAGATTGCATTCATCTGGGGAACATAAAGTAACAAAATAGGAGACTAACACCCAAGAGTGGCTGAGATTAGTACCAGGAATTTTGCTCAATGGCTTGGAGGCCAGCCACACATGCTAGGGGAAAAGGGACCTCAGGTAGAGAAGGGAGCACCAAATAAAGAGTGTTGGGAGGATCCTCCCAGGATGGGAGAAGCATGCTGAAAGTAGACTATGGACCAAACATGATTGCCACTCAATGCCTCTTTTGCAAACCACAACACCCAAAAGGAGAGAGAGAACAAAGGGGAATGTCACAGAGGCAGGGTGGGATGGGGGGGTGAGGGGGTAGGAGGGATACTGGGATTCGTGGTGGTGGGAAATGGGCACTGGTGGAGGGATGGGTATTTGATCATTGTATAGTTGAATCCCAAGCACAAAATATGTAAGTCTACAACTGTACCTCATGGTGTCTCACTAATAAAAAATTAAAACACAAAACAAAACAAAAAACTAAAAAAAAAAATTAGAATGATTGAATAAGTCGACCTAGTACAAGGTAAGGCAGAGTAAGGAATCTTAATACAGGAGCTAAGGCACTTGCTTTGGATGGGGCTGACCCTAATTTGTTCCCTGGCACCCACCTCCCATCCTCCCCCATCCCACCCTTCCTCTGTGGCAGGGCATTCCCCTTTGTTCTCTCTCTCCTTTTGGGTATTGTGGTTTGCAAAAGAGGCACTGAGTTTAAAGCAAGATCTGACCAGGGAGTCAATACACTGCATATGAATAGAGATCATATATATACTAAGTACTAGTTATTACACTGCAGCACTGTCCTCCATTGTTCATCAATTTGCAAGAGTGGGCACCAGTAACGCCTCCACTGTGAGACTTGTTATTACTGTTTTTGGCATATCGAATACAAAACAGGGAGCTTGTCAGGTTTTGCCTCGTGGGCAGGATACTCTCGGTAGCTTGCCAGGCTCTCTGAGAGGGACAGAGGAATCGAACTTGCACAGCAGAAGCACACTGTGCAAGGCAACATGCAAGGCAAACACCCTACTCACTGTGCTATCTGTAAATCATCCAAAGCACAGTAATAAAAATATCTAAAATACAAATGTCCTTCAGAATAATTTATAACACATGCCTAAAATATGAAATCTGAAGATAGCAGGCTAACTTTTCTATTCAGACTGGATAGGACCATGACACCTTTTTCACCAACCCATCAAACATTTCAAACCTCAGTTCTTCCCAAAGTTTTTCCCAACCACATTAACTTGTATTCTCATTTTTCTGTAATCCCACAGCACTGTCTGCATAATGAGTTTTTATCGCAAACTGCATTAGTGTCAAGTATTTACATATTCATATATTTCTATCTTTGCAACTAAAACATAAATTCCTTGAAGACAGGTTACTAATTAAGTTCAAGTTTTAACTGCATATACAGATTTCAACAATGTTGGTGACAAAAAAAATTCTAATAAGTTTTTTTTAAATCAGTGTCTTGTCACAATTCTCTTAAGGTACATGATACAGCATCTTTAAATGTTTTCACATAGTTCAAAGGATTCCTTTTTAGTTTTTGTATTTTGGGGCCACACCTGTTTTGTATTTTGGGGCCAACAGCAGAACCACACAGTGCTCAGGAAGGAACTCAGAGATTCTGCATGCAAAGCATGGGCTCCAGCCCCCAGAGCTCTCTCCCATGCCCTCAAAGAATTTTTCTTTGTTTTGTTTGGGGGTGGATGAGGAGAGTGGCCACACTCTGCAGAGCTCAGGGATATTCCTAGTTCAGTGCTCAGGACTCAGCCCTGACGGTACTGGGTAGCATATGCAGAAAGATAGTACAGTGGTTAAGGCTCTTGCCCTGCACATGGCAAATTCCATCCCCAGAACCACTTACGGTTCCCTGAACCTGCCAGGAGTGATTCTTGAGTGCAAACCCAGAAATTAAGTCCTGAGTGCTGTTGGGTGTGGCCCTCCAAAAGCTAAAAAATAATAATAAATAAAATTCAAGGCCAGGGAAATAGCTCTAAGGGCTGGAACCCATGCTTTGCATGAGAGAGGTCTTGATTCAATCCCCAGCACCACATGGTCTCCCAAAGCAGAGGAGAGTGACCCCTCAGTACTAAGCTAGAAGTGAACTTCAAGTATCACTAAGTGTAGTCACAAAAGCCAAAGAAGTTTAAAATATAAAAAGAGCTCCAAAGTTTGGACCAGTGTGTAGGTACAGCAGGTAGGGTGTTTGCCTTGCACATGGCGAACTCTGCTAATCCCTAGCATCCCATATGGTCCCCTGAGCCCTGTTAGAGTGCAGAGTCAAGAGTTGCCCTTGAGCCTCATTAGGTGTGCTCCAAAAACAAACAGAAAGAGCTACAAAGCAATAGTACAGTGAGTAGGGTGTTTGCCTTGCACAGAGTTCAATGAGTTTGAGTCCCCGTATCAGAGATGGTCACCAGAGCACTGCCAAGAGGGATCCCTGAGCACTGCTGAGTGTGGTCAAAAAGAGACAAACAAAAAATTAAAACAATATAAAAAATAGGAGGAAGGAGATAGCACAGGTCATCCCTGCACTATATGGGCCCCAGAGCATCCCGTGTTACAGCCTTGGAAGAGCCTAGCCACTGTCAGGTGTGGCCCTGATAACACCTAAGGATGCCATGGTTGACTGGTAGTCCCCAGCACCACAGGGCCTGAGCTACCACGACATCCTCAGGCCCTCGCATTGAACAATCTAGCCAGCTGACTGGATTTAATTTTAAATTAAATTAAATTAAAAAGTAAAGCACCATGAATTTTTCACTAACAGTCATGATGAAGATACCTCTATTATACAACTCCAAGCAATGCTGTATAGTTGATATATTTATCATACTTATCAGTTTGCTCTTACCTAGTAATCATGTATTAACTTTATATTTGTTAGTACTTATATCCCAAACATTTCTATCTACATCAGTGTCTGCCAAAACTGGAAATTCTTAAATCTAGAAGACCAATCAAACTCACTCAAACCTAATGCCAGAACATAAAACAAAGTGTATAACAAATGCTTTGGATGAGAAAAGGAAGATAACAAAAGAGAAAATGATCCTTGTTAGCAAGGCTCTTCTGAATATTCTACAACTTATTCTGAGATTGGGGAAGTCTTAATGCTGTATGTAAAGTCTCCTGGCCTTGGAAGAGATAATAAATCACTTAATGATGTTCCTCTCATCTTTCTTGTGTTGGCCACCACCAGTGAGTAACTGGTCCCACTTTCAGTAGACTGAAAGTCTGATGTATAAGTTTAAATTACTAGAAGTAACCAAAGAGCAGAACATGGGAGACATTTTCCCATCCCAAAGCTAATACAAGGCATTTTTGTGCCTTCCAGAACTACAAGGAGATTTTAGCTTGAACACTCCATATATTCTCAACATGAAGAGTAAAACATTTTTACAGGCTGACCCAGGTTCAATCCTTGACACCTAATATGGTCCCCTGAGCCTGCCAAGAGTGATCCCAAGTGCAGAGCTTAGAAGTAAGCCCCGAGCAACACTGGACATGACCCAAAAACAAAAACAAAAACAAACAAAAAAGTGAAGCATTTTTGGCTGAACTTACCTTTTTTTTTCTTCAGTTCCTGCTATAGGTCCCAATGCTACAAACAATTTTACAAAATTAGCAGGTTGATCAAACAGAGGAATCATATCAGCTAGTCTCTTTCTAGCCAGCTTAGAGAATTCAAAACTATAAAACTGTAAAGAATGATACAGACTAAGGATTTTACTAATGGATTCCAAATCAAGATGGTCCACATTGCTTATAAACACTTGATTGCATCTGTCTAGTAGTGGATAATATGGGTATTTAATATTTCGAAGAAATTGGACTAATCTCCGTGCAATGTTGACCTGGGAAGATTCTACACTGTCAAAAAGAAGTTCTGCTCTTTTTATTAATTGTTCTTGAAAAGATTTTGATATTAAAGAAGATATGTTGACCATCAGAACAGACAAGGACCTGAAAAAGAAAAAAGAAATGAAGTCAGTTAAGGATAATAAAGAATAGGTCCAACACATTAGATATAGAAAGAAACTAGGAAAACTATTTGGGTTGTTCATTTAGTTTGGGGGCCACATCCAGCAGTGTTCAGGGCTTATTCCTGCTCTTGCTTAAGGGTCACTCCTGATGGGGCTCAGGGGACCATACTGAGTTCAGGGATTGAACCCAGAACGGCCACACACAAGACAAGCTTCCTACCCACTGGACTATCTCTCTAGCCCTGCATTAGATATTTTTAAGTGCACAGCTAGTGGTATTAAGAAGACTCATGGGGCTAGAGAGATAGCACAGTGGGTCAGGACACTGCTGACCCGGGTTCGATTCCCAGCATCCCATATGGTCCCCTGAGCACTGCCAGGAGTAACTCCTGAGTGCAGAGCCAGGAGTAACCCCTGTGCATTGCCAGGTGTGACCCAAAAATCAAATAAATAAATAAATAAAAAGAATACTCAGTGCTGTACAACCATCACTGTCACATAACTGCAAACTATGATTCCTTACAATTTCCCCAAACTACAACTTCTTACCCATTAAAGAATAACTCCCTATTCTCCCTTCCCCCTCCTCCTGTACCATTCTACTTGGGAGTTTGTTTTTTTGTTTGTTTGTTTGTTTAGTTTGGGGTCACACCCAGTTATGCTCAGAGGTTACTCCTGGCTCTGCATTCAGGAATTACTTCTGACGGGGGCTTGAGGGACCATATGGATACTAAGGATTGAGCCCAGGTCAGTTGCGTGCAAGGCAAACACCTCACCCACTACACTATCACTCTGGCCACTCTACTTGTTTTTTCTAAACCTGATTATTCTACATGTCTCACATAAGTGGAATCATATCTTCTTGCCTAGGTTAATTTCTTTCAGCATAATATCTTTAAAGTTCATCCATGTGGTAGCATTTTATTCCTTTTTTTAAAAAAAATTGTATTCCTTTTTATCTGTATCAGAATTCATAAAGAATTCAGTGAGTTCTGGGTTACAAAGCAGGATTAGTTTTGCATCTGTCTCAGTTTTTGTCCAAATATCAAACACCCACACAGGTGCTGATTTGATTCCTTTTTTTATGTGAATAACACTGACTGTATATATATATATACATTTTGATTGTCCAGTTGTCAATCAATGGACACAGTTTCACACCTTTTGAAAGTTATAACTAATGCTGCTATAAATCTTGTTGTATACTATTAATTGAATTGTGCCTAGCCTCTTCCCCTAAATTCCTGTTAAAATCTTAGCCCCTAATGACTATTTGCATACAGAGTATTTAGGAAGATAATTAAGTGTGAATGACATGATAAAGGGTGGCAAATAAGATTATTAGCTTGCAGATAAGACAAAAATCTCAAATATTTCATAGATCTCAACAATATTGTATATACTTTAAAAACCTTACCTCTAATTCTTAAAGGAATATTACAAAGTATGCACTATTATTCATGTGTTAGGCTTTGCTTTGCTGTTGGTGTTTGGGCAGCACATGGTAGTGCTACTCTGAACATGATGCTTGAGGGTAGTTCCCAGAGTGCTTAGTGCCATGGATCAAACTCAGGTCTTTATACACTCAACCTACAGAGCTATCTCTCCAGCCAAACAATGCATGCTTTATAGATGGGAGTGTCAAACTTCAAAGAAATCAAAGTCATAGAGCTAGAAAAATGGCAAATCTACACATGTGTGTGCATCTAATGCTCAGAACCATTCTAATACAATTCAAAACCCCTAAGTAAACTTACCTTAAGTCCTGTATAGTTTCCAAATTCCTATTTGCAATATCAGCAATTTTTCCCATTAATGGACTAAAATATAAATGCTGATCTGCGAGGCAAGAAGAAAATTTTGACAGTAAACTGATATCAAACCTATTCAAAGAAACATAAAAAAGAGATCAATACTATTTACTTTTATTTAAACATATAATATAGTTATAAAATAAAAAGCAATCAAAATACTATTTATATATTAGTCATATCAAAATTTTACTAAAATGCTGATTATTTACAATTGTAAAAGTAAATCATTTCGCTAGTTTAAAAGTCAGACATTATTGGATTTTTTAAGTGTGTCCTCAGAAAGCAACCTAGGGCATGCAATGTGTCTACTGGGTAAACTTACTGAGCCACAACATCAGCCCTGAAAAATGTTTAAAGGAAGAAAAAAAAAAATCACTAAATTTTTTTTTAAAGTTCAGTATTTACAAAATGAGTTATTATCTCAGCTTTTATAGATATATACAAATATATTAATTTATATAGTACTGATATATTCTCTATACTCATAAGAAGAATATCCTGAACAAATCTCACTTTTTTTTCCTTCTTGGGTCACATCTGGTGATGCACAGGGGTTACTCCTGGCTCTGCACTCAGGAGTTACTCCTGGCAGTGCTCAGGAGACCATATGGGATGCTGGGAATCGAACCTGAGTCGGCCGCGTGCAAGGCAAACGCCCTACCCACTGTGCTATTGCTCCAGCCCCAAATCTCACATTTTTTACATGATTATAATGGCGCATGCTGAAATTTTAACTGTGTAGGAATTAGATTTGAATTGATAATATTTGCAGTAGTGGACCCAAAACCTCCAGGTCAATTAAGGAACTCTGCTCACTTCCTCTCCATGAAGGAGAGCAGACTGCACCCCCCAAATGCTGCTAAGAGTATGACACAGTTCTCTTCTCTACCAGCTAGGTTCTCTCTGCTTCTTTGAATGCTCCTAAACCTCTAGGTTTATACTGTCAGTCTATCACTCAACAAATACTTTTTTCCTGAATTGTAACTTACAGAAAAGAAGATTCAAAAAAGCCTAGTCCAGGGGTCAGAGAGGTAGTACAGTGGGTAGGATGTTTGCCATCCATGCAGCCAATCAGGTTTCTATCCCTGGCCCACACATGGTCTCTGAGGCCGCCAAGCGTCATCCCTGAGCACAGAGCCACAAGTAAGCCCTGAACAATACCAAGTATGGTCCAACAACAACACAACAACAACAACAAAAGCCTAGTCCAGGCTAGGAATATGATTCAGTGGTAAGTGCTGTCTCATTCATATATCCTGGGTTTGATCTCTAGCACCAAAATAACAAAAAGTCTGGATCACAAATAGTTGTGAAACCACCTTACCTATAATATAGTTACATACATATAAACTATGTGTGACATATATAAATAAATGTTATACATATAAAGCATACAACATTCTCTGTCATTAATTAAAGAGGGCATAATTTTATTTCTTGTTTCTCTTTGGGCTGAAGCGATAGTACAGTGGGTAGGGTGTTGGCCTTGCACACACCAACCCAGGTTCGATTCCTTCGTCCCTCTCGGAGAGTATCCAGCCCACATGGCAGAGCCTGGCAAGCTCCCTGTGGTGTATTCATATGCCAAAAACAGTAACAAGTCTCACAATGGAGATGTTACTGGTGCCTCTTGAGGGAATTGATGAACAACAGGCGGACAGTGTAACAGTTTTTCTTTACTTTTGGTAACACCTGGAGGTGCTCAGGGGCTAGTCCTTGCTCAGGAGTGAAACCTATTGGTGCCCAGGGGACCAAATCAGGTGCCAGGGATTTGAAGTGGGGTCAGTGGGATACAAGGTAAGCACCTTATCTCCTGCCCTATCTCAACCAGCCCTGTTTCCTTTCTCTTAAGGAAAAAAAACATAGTCCCTGTTCTTTTCCCACAATATTCTACTGTGTGATCCCTGAAAAAAATAATCCTTATTTGAAATGATAAAACAGAATACTTGCCTTTCCATTCTTCTCCATGCTTCTGTAACTAGTGCTTCAATTAGTGGGTCATGGGCCTCAAGAGAAAACCTAAATAAGAACCAAAAAAAAAGTTTTCATTCTTGAACTTTTTTTTTCAATTATGAAAAATATATCCAGTAAGACTTTTAAAGTAAAAGTGAACTCGAGTTACCTACTTTTACAGAGTTGATCTTTATTTTTTGGTCCAACCTTATTTCAGTTTTCAATTTCTTGGTACAAAATAATAAACACCTACAGTTTCCCCTGTGCAACTTCTCAACCTTTCATCTGCTCATTTCAATGTCTTCCACTGAACAGTAAGATGTCCAATGACACCAGTTATGTTAAAAAGTACACATAACAATTTTTTTCTCTGACTAATTATTATTATTGCTTTTTGGGTCACAACTGGGACATTGCTCAAGGGTTACTCCTGGCTCTGCACTCAAGAATTACCTCTGGCAGTGCTCGGTGAACCATATGGGATGCCGGGGATAGAATCTGGGTCAGTCGCATGCAAGGCAAATTCCCAGCCTGCTGTATTATCACTCCATCCCTTATAAACATATTCTTATAGGAGAAAATTTCAGAAATTTAAACAGATTACTGTTGATGAAATAGTATGCAGCCAGAAAAAATAAAGTCATGCAGTTCATGACAACTTGAGAGGAACTGGAGTGTTTCATGCTGAGTGGGAAATAAAACAGAGGCAGAAGAACAAACACAGAATGACAGCACTCATCTGTTTTTACAGAGAAACAAATCAAGGGTGTGGACACTATCCAACAATAATAAACCTCAGATAACAGAATTTCTCTGAAGAGTGCCAGGTTTGTGGAGAGAGAGGAGGGGAATGATATAGTAATATAGGAGCAGAGATAGAGGGTCTGAAGCACCTGGGTGATAGCTAAGGCAGGTAACTGTGTGCGCCAAGACCATAACTGTCAATGAAAACATAATGGATAGATGGGGAGAGGGAGGAAGGTAGAATAAAAGGTCATGTAGGGACAGGGGTGGACGATCACGGGCACTTTAGTGGTGATGGTATTCAATAACTATGTACATCAATACTATTAGGGACCAATAAGACAGTACAATGGGTAGGGCATTTGCCTTGCATGTTGCGGACCTGGGTTCCATTCCAGGCACCAAATATAGTTCCCCAAACTCACCAGGCATTATCCCCGAGTGCAGAGCCAGGAGTAAATGCTGAGCACCACTGAATGTGGTCCAAAAACAAACAAACAACAACAACAACAACAAAAAACACACCTTACTATAAATATGAAAATAATTGTAACCTTATTACCGTATTGTAACCTTATTACCTTATGATCTTGAAATCCTACTTTTTGGTACTAGCCCAAGAATACAAAACCAATCATTTGAAAAGAGACTTTCAAACCTATGTTCACTGCAGTGATAAGTGAAATAGTCAACATATGTAAGTAATCGTACCGTCAAATGACAGACAAATGAAGAAATTGTGGTATATTTCACAATGGAGTACTATGAAGCTATAATGAAAGGATAAAACTTTAAGGTTTGCTGCAACTTAGATGGAAATGTTGGGGATCATGTTAAGCAAAATAAGTCAACGGGTGGACAAATACCAAATGATCTCACTCATCATGGCATACAGAGAAACATCATTAGGGAATTAACATCTAATGGGGACAAACTCTGGACCTTTAAATACAAAGATGAGATTTCAAGCAGCAAAGAAAGAAGAGAAGAAATTTTATGTTTCTTTTTATGCCAGTACCATACCATTGTGACTATATAATAGAATTTGAAGTTAGGAAATATGATACCTCCAACTTTGTTCTTTTTGCTCAAGATTGCTTTAACAAATCAGCAAATTTGGCAGTTTCACATAAACTGTGATTAGTGCTCAGAAATGAATCCATTTACATATAGTCACTAATAGCTGACAAGGACACCAATAATACCCTACAGGGAAAAAGACAGTCTTACTCCTGGTTCTGTGCTTAGGGGTCACCCGTGGAAGTGCACAGGGGACCATATGATGTGCCTGGTATCAAACCCAGGTTGACTACATTCTGCACTATCTCGATTGTCCTAAAAAGGACAGTCTTTATAATAAATGGCAGTAGATAAACTAGACAGTCACATGAAAACTAATGACATTGGATTCTTATTTATACATATAAAGAAATCAGCTCAATATGAATTTTAAAAGTAAGTCTAATGAGTACACCGGTGATAGGTGTGGTATTGGAATTATGTCCATGAGAAACCATTATTAATAGTATTATAAACCAAAAAATAAAAAAATTTAAATGAATAAATATGCAAGTCTGGGGTCAAGAGAGATAGTGGCCAGGAGGATTACTCCATGGCTTAGAGGCCAGCCGGGCATTCTAGGGGAAAGGGCAGCTCAGATAGAGAAGGGAGCCCCAAATAAAGGGTGTTTGGAGGATCCTCCCAGGAGGGGAGATGCATGTTGAAAGTAGACTATGGACTGAACATGTTTGCCACTCAATGCCTCTTTTGCAAACCACAACACCCAAAATGAGAGAGAGAACAAAAGGGAATGCCCTGCCACAGAGGCAGGGTGGGATGGGGGGGATGGGTGTGGGAAGGATACTGGGATCCATGATAGTGGAAAATGGGCACTGGTAGAGGGATGGGTATTTGATCATTGTATAATCGAAACCCAAGCACAAAAATTTGTAAATCTACAACTGTACCTCATGGTGTTTCACTAATAAAAATTAAAAAAAAAAAGAGAGAGATAGTGGGAAGGCACTTGCCTCACACGTGATCAGTGGTCAACCCATATTCAATCCCTGGCATCCCATATGGTCCCCTGACACTGCCACAAGTGATCCCTCAGCTCAGAGCCAGGAGTAACCCCTGAGCATCATGGATGTGGCTCCAAAACAAAAACAAATATGTGTGTGTGTGTGTGTGTGTGTGTGTGTGTGTGTGTATGTGTCTAAGACCAGAAACCATAAAGCTCTCAGAAGAAAATTAAGAGAAAAGTTTCTTAACATTGGTCAAAGAATTGTGTTTTTGGATTTGACACCAAAAGTACAGCTTGCATGCAAGACAAGTGCCTTACCCCTATACTCTCTGGTCATGTATGATGTGTTAAATTTTTAAGTCAGATACTAATAATTAATTGTTGTCTGCAATCTGAAGTTTGACTACCTATTAATTACATCCTCTTCTTCTCTAACCAATCATTTTCCTACAAAATTCCACAATAATCTAGTTACATAAGCCAAAGTTAATCATTTCTATTTTCACAATTGATTGCACTCTAGGTCTTTAACAGCAATAGTACTAAATTATAAATATCTTATAAACATTTTACAAAAATAAATATAGATTATCAGGAAAATTTTATGGAAGGAAAACCACATTTAAAGAGATTTTTCTAAATCAAAATATAAAAACACTTCCAATCAATTCAATCACTTTCACTGATTCTAAAAGCACATTACTTACTGTTGTGTTATATATAACACATTCACCAGGGTATCATCATTCATGAGTTCTATTTTCTTTGCAGTTATATCATAAAGAGTGACAAACTGAGGATGGTCTTTGATGAAGTCAACATTTTTTAACAAGCTGGTCTTCTGCTTTTGAAACTCCCAAAGCATAGTAAATGCACATCCAACTTGATTTTCTGAAAGTGTGGCTTTGTTTCTTCCAATAAAATCAAATATCTGCTCTTCATCTTCACATTTATTCATCTGACTAATTAATGGTTCACAACTGAAAGATCGAAACCGAAACACCCTCCAGGAGAATTGACAAACAGCTTTTAAACGAAGCATATTTGGAAGCAGCGAGTTTTCAAAAAGAAACCTTTTCACTTACATCACAAATTTTCTTAGGTTAAAAAAAAGAAAAATTTGCAACTAGTAGTCAGGTACATTATACTGATATAAAAATAACTGGTTTTCTTTCATGTATTTTGCTTCTATTGTGACTCTAAATCCCATTTCAATATGCAGCTTCTGTAAAAGAATTAGTTTCACATAATTACATGAGTAATATTAAATTAATTCCAAAAGTTAAATAGAGGTAACAAGACGCTTTTTCTGCACTAATTACATACTTTACTCCTAGTCTGAACCAGATAGCAGGATTTAAATGTCAGAAAAAGGGGCTTCTTTGTCCACTGCAAAAATGTTTGTCAAGAGCTGGATGACTGCTGAGAGTAAGGAGCCAGGTACCAGCATTCTCTGGCACCACATTAAACACACACACACACACACACACACACACACACACACAGCACTTCCCATTCTCCAGAACAATACTTGGAAGCATCCTCCATCCCTCCCCCGCCAGGATTTTGTTGTTTAAATTTACTTTTTACATAAAGTTTGATAACTTCACCATAAAAGTAGAAAGAAAAAAGATGAAAAAAAAAACTAAAACTTAGAATCATCTTTCAAAATAAAACACAAAGCTGTCTCTCACACACACACACACACTTAAGTTTCTACAAGGAACTGCCATTAAATCAAAGCCATATTACTTTTACAATTGTTTTCAGAAGGATGGGCTCTGGTATATTTGCTTCTAGAATAATTTCTTGTTCTTTTCTGCTTGTACTGTTTCTGGTTTATTTGTTTGTTATTGTAGCAAACATACCGTGGGGCTGAAACCCTCACACCGCAATGCACACACTCCACAGGAGCAGCAGTCTAGGCCCAGTCGGATAACTCAGTTTAGTCACTACTGATGAACAGGTTTTAACCAGCGAGAGAGGTGACTAAAACTCAAATCACGGGGTTGGAGCCATAATACAAGGGAGAAGGGCATTTGCCTTGCGTGTGGTTGACCAGGGTTCAATCCCCAGCACACAATAAGATTCCAGGAGCTCAGAGCCAGGAGTAACCCCTGAGCATCATTGGATGTATCCCCCCACTCTCTCACACCCACAAAAAAAAAAACACCTCAAATCAGTGTCAGGGATGTGGCTCAGCAGATCACTTGCCACACATGTATGAAGTGTTGGTTGGAAATGATCCCCAGCAAGAGTGGGAGCAGGCCAAAAAAAACTCAAAATAAGAAAACATGCAGAAATTAAGTAATGTATCAGGATATTGCAACATAATTAAATAATCAAACTACTTATAAATACTTACAGTTTTAGTTGAAATACACTGGTTACAAATGTAGACTGGGCCTGAGAGAAAGCCTAGAGTGCAAGGGTCCCAGGATGCATTCCTGACACTGGAGAGTCCCCCAAGCACTGCTGAGTATGATCCAAAAATCAAACAAAACAAAAAAAGAAAGAAAAGTTGGGACTATAATCATATTACCTAATTCTTTTGAAATACTCTACTTGGTCTTTTAAGTTTTATTATCCCATTAAATTCTCTCAACTAACCTGCCTGGTAGATATCATCATCTGCACTTTACAGGGAAGAAAGTGGGGGAGAAGGAGCAGATTGTGGGGGGGAAAGGCCTCTGGTGGAGGGTGTGGTGTTGGAACGCTGTATGCATGAAACCCTATCATTAACAGTATTGTAAGCTGTGGTATTGTAAATCACAATGCCTAAAATTTTTTAAAAAGAAATCAGTTTTTAAAAGAAAAGTCAGGTTAGGGAGGAGAGAGAGTACAGTGGGTCAGGGGCTTCCCTAGTATGCCTAACAAACTCATTAGATCCCTGAAACTGAATATGATCCCCAAACACCGCTAGGAGTGATTCCTGAGTACAGACCCAAGACGTAAGCCCTGAGCACCACTACGGCCCCAAAACAAAACAAAACAAAAAGTTCCTACAGGGTCTGAGACGTGGTACAATGGGTAGGGCATTCGTTTTGTTGCATAAGGGCCCCCACGCACCCCTAATTTCCCTAGCACAAGGTCAGGAGTATACACTGATCACAGCCATGCGTGTGCTCCCTCCCCCTCTCCCACAATCACATGGAAAATTCAGACTCAGAAAAGTTTAACAAACTATACTAGTGCCTACCCACCTCTTTCGACTCAGCTTGAACAGTTTCATAACATCAACAAACCAACTATACCTCACGGCAATGCCCGCCCAATACATACCAACACACACGTATTAAGACAAGATTCCTTATCTGCTCACAGCTCCATCGCTAACAAACAGAGGAATCAAGTTTTCCACTAAATGACCTTGGGAAAACTCAGCTAAGCAAAGGAAGGGTCCTGGGACTAAATGAGATAGGTACCCAGCTCTAAGTGGGCAGAGTAACACCAGTTGCAAGTGACCGGCAAGCTCCGCGCCAGGCAAACAGTGGCGCTAAACGAATGAATGGAAAGGGTGTCTCGGGTCCGGGCAGAGAATCTGCTGGAGGCTACCCGGGTCCTCTGCGCTTCACTTTATCCCACCCCGGAAGGGGACCTCTGTTCCTCAGCTGTCTACTAAAATCCCGGGCCGAAACGGGCGGGTCGGGAAAAGAAAACCGGCTGCGCCCCCACACACTTCTGACCTGCGGGCATCATCTTCCCTTCACGACTGGAAATGTTTCTAGAGGGTCCTGGGGAAGGTTTTGGCTCAGCAGTCAAGGCAATATTCCTGGTCCCCAACGGGACAGAACAGACTCGGTTGGCTCGCTCCCCCCTCCCTTACATCCCGGAATTGTTTTGTTTGTTTTGCTTTGAGCCTTTTTCTTGGGGGAGATCACCTTTCCGGCGGAGGAGCGGGTCCCCAACTCTCAGGGCGAAAGCACTGCCTGCCCGGCGAACACAGCGTGCATGCACGGCGGAAGGTCGCACTACATATCCCAGAGGGCGGTGCAGAGAGGGCGGTGGGATGGGGCGGCTCGCGCACGGCGGAGCCTGCCGGGTATTGTAGTTCCTCCTTTCAATTTGGCTGGGCCCCGGCAAAACTTTGGAAGTAATAGGTCCTCTCTGTATTTTAGTGACTGATTTAAATCATCAGTTGTGGGGGCTTGGAGTGATAGCACGGTGGGTACGTGGCCCGACCCGGGTTCGATTCCCAGCATCCCATATGGTCCCCCGAGCAAGGACAAGAGTAATTCTTGAGTGCTTGAACCACGAGTAACCCCTGTGCATCGCTGGGTGTGACCCAAAAAGCTAAATAAATAAATCATCAATTGTGAATGATTTAAATCATCAATTTTATAAGAGCTAATAAAAAGTTAATAAATGACGAGTTTTAATTTCTTCGTAGCAAATTATTGTCAATAGCCAAAAACCAGCAGGTGAAGTTTATTAATTTTTTTGCAATTTGGGAAAAGTAACAGCTTTGAGTAATGCACAGCTCCAGGTAAACCATTGGGACAGCCATTAAACATGTATGGGAAAGATCTTAATATGGATTTTGTCCGGTAAATTTACTAAGGAACTAATGAAGAAGAGGTTTTCTTGTTTTTTGGTGTTGTCAGAAAGCCAGGCAATTGTATGATGGAGCACACTAATAAATTTAAATCATAGTGAAAGTAGTACAGAAGCAGTAATTGGTAAAGGAGTTCACTCCTTAAATGAGAGGGGAATCTTTGGAATTTTGTGTGCAACAATGTTCTTTGAAACTATGTGAAACTATAATGTTGCATACATAATACCAATGTTCTTTGAAACTATGTTTAACAGACAATAGATTTCAAGCGTGTGTCAGATGAGTTTGAAAAACATTAAAAGGATGGGATGTAGTTCTGTGACATAGTACATACCTCTCATGTGTGAGGCCCTGGGTTCTATCACACAGCATTTTTCAGTAACATTGGGACTTAGCTATGAGCATTCAATTCATTTCCCCAACATCAGAGAATCTTTCTCTTCCATCTCTGTGTTTTCCCACTAATTAACATGGAGAAATTATGCTAATAAAAAAAAACTTTTGGGGGGGAGGGCTGGAGCAATAGTACTGCAGGTAGGACATTTGCCTTTGCACGTGGCCAACCGGGTTCAATCCCTTGCATCCCATATGGTCCCCAGAGCAATGCCAGCAGTAATTCCTGAGTGCAGAGCCAGGAGTAACATCTGAGCATTACCAAGTGTGACCCAAAAATTAAATAAATAAATAAATAAAACTGTGTATGCTACCTAATGCCAAGAGATGGATTGAGCATCTGCCTTGCCAGAGTGAGGCCTCCAATGGAATCCTATTTGACCCCTATTCCTCCTGTGTATTAAGCACAGTCAGACAGCTTTGTTGTTGGTGATCCACAGCTCTGAAAACAATTTCCAAAACTGCTAGTGGGTGTTCCCCAGTAAAAACAGAAACCAAAAGTATGTGTAAGCAGGGCCAACGCGATAGTACATTGCACAGGGCACTTGTCTTGCATATAACCGACCAAGGTTTGATCTCCAACATCCCTTATGATCCACCAAGCACCACAAGAGATCATTTCTGAGTGCAGAATCAGGATTGACCTCTAAGCATTGCTGGATGTGGACCCCCCAAAACAAAACAGGATGTGTAAGCACCATAATTAGGGGTGTGACCTCCATCAAGCACTTGTGTGAATACCACAATGAAATTATGTGACCCCAGACAGTACTGTAACTAGAAATTGCATGAGCACCACAAGTAAAAACAGTAACCCTCAATCAAGCACCACAGCTGAGACTATAAACACAACAACCCATCATTGCAACACCACTAGCAATAGAAGTAAGGGGAAAGTGGGACTAATCAATTAAATAGTAAAATATCCAAAAATGATGGTTTTAACTTGCATGTGTCTATCTAACGTAGTCAAAGCCATCCAATAAACATTATTTCTGGATGACAATTAAGGGCCACCAGGGTACCAAGTCCACACGAAGTAGTGCATGAGGATCTCCAGAATTATACTTGGAAGTCTTTAGCGAGTGGGTCCTTCGAGACTGGAGATCAACCTGGAGTGCTGACCAGGAAAAGTCTGTGTCCCTGAGTCCTGTGCTATCTCCATGACCTGGTACTTAGATAATTTTTTTTTCCAGGCAGAAGATAAGATACAGAGACTCAGGATAATCATATAAAATATTTGGGCATCCAGGGACTCCGGGTTCAATCCCTAGCACCACATGGTCCTTCAAGTACTCAAGTGCTGAGTAGAGAGTTTCTTCCAAACAACAACAAATGTGACCCAAAAACTACTATCAACAACAAAAACAAGAATTAGGACCACATGATCCATTTTCAAAAGAAAAATCCAGTACTTATTTGAGTCACGTGTTGAACAAAATAATATCAAATGTCTACTATAACTACATTTATTGATGATGGAATAGAAATGTGTTGATAATAAATGAAGATATAAAATACCAGCATAGAACTAAGATACACTTCAAAAGAACCAAATATATATGTTAGAACTGAAAAATACAACATCTGAAATTTTAAATTCTCAACTTAACCGAACTGGTATAACGAAGAATCAGTAAGCTTAAAAATTATAGGTCCCTTACTGTTGGTGGGAATGCCGACTAGTTCAGCCCTTCTGGAAAACAGTATGGATGATTCTCAAAAAACTAGAAATTGAGCTCCCATTTGACCCAGCAATACCACTCCTGGGAATATATCCCAGAGAGGCAAAAAAGTATAGCCGAAGTGACATCTGCAATTGTCTGTTTACTGCAGCACTCTTTACAATAGCCAGAATCTGGAAAAAACCTGAGTGCCCGAGAACAGATGACTGGTTGAAGAAACTCTGGCACATTTACACAATGGAGTACTATGTAGCTATTAGAAAAGACAAAGTCATAAAGTTTACATACAAGTGGTACTACATGGAAAGTATCATGTTAAGTGAAATGACTCAGAAAGAAAGGGATAGACATAGAAATATTGCATTCATCTGGGGAACATAAAGTAACAAAATAGGAAACTAACACCCAAGTATGGCAGAGATTAGTACCAGGAATTTTACTCAATGACCCGGAGGACAACCACACATGTTAGGGGAAGGGGGAGCTCAGAAAGAGAAGGGAACACCAAATAAAGGGTGTTGGGAGGATCCGCCCACGATGGGAGAGCATGCTGAGGGTAGACTGTCGACCAAGCATGATTGCCACTCAATGCCTCTTTTCCAGACCATGGCACTCAAAAGGAGAGAGAGGGAAATGCCCTGCCACAGAGGCAGGGTGGGATGGAGGCTGCGGGGGGAAGGGGATGCTGGGATCCGTGGTGGTGGGAAATGCGCACTGGTGGAGGGATGGGTGTTTGATCATTGTATAATCGAAACCCAAGCACAAAAATGTGTAAGTCTACAACTGTACCTCATGGTGCCTCACTATTAGAAAATAAATAAATAAAAATAAATAAATAAAATATAGTTGTTGAGAAGAAAAAAAATTATAGGTCCCTGTTATTATTCTCTTTATGTAAGCAGGAAATTCAACAATTGGGGGGTTCTTGCCCTTTGTGTGGAAAAAAAAAAGCCATGCAACATAACTGGGGCACAGGAAAGCAGCCGTATTTCTCCAAGCTAAGAGGGAACAGTTGAGTGGAAAAACCCAGACCATGAGAGCAGCAACTGTTGGTTCCCAAGACGGTAGCACCACAGCAGGTCTTTAGAGCTTTCTGGGTCTGGGTTCGGTTCCAGGCTGCAACATGGATATTGGTTCGATGCCTGTTCTTAAAAAGCTAAGTCTATCAGGGCCTGCAGAGGAATGAGGAAACTGGGGGAGAGGAGAGGTTCGACTTTGAAATCCCCTCATTAGTTTACCCACTCTGTGGGGATGGGGGAAATAGTTCAAGTTTGAAAATCTCCATTAGTTCCAGCCCTCGTGTCTGTGTGCAGTGTGAGCTCTGTCTCTCTCCCTTTCTTACACACACACACACACACACACACACACTCACACACACACACAATCATCAGATGGTGTCATCTCAAGCATGCCCACTGACCACTGACAGATGAAAGTACTAGGCACTGCAGACTTCTAAGACTCTCTTTGGCCTCATGAAGGCCCTCCTTAGAGTTTAAGGAATTCACTTCCTGTTATATACCTAGCTACAACAAACTTCGTTATTGTGTGATTGGGAAAGTCTGTAATCATTAGAATCTTTTAAGAAACCAAGTACTTTGTTTGGTAAACATGGATTCATCTTCTGCCAGGATTCTGATGGTCAAGGTTTAATGCTGGGCCTGGTGATGTGGTGTTAATCAGACCCATCCATTTTATGGTCATGAGAGTCAACCCAGTAGTGCAGGTGGTGGTGGGGCATGGGAATCAAAGGCAGGGCCTCTGTTCATGCCAGGTGTGCTCCAGCCCTTTAAGATCTCTCCCAAGAACACCCCCTACACACGCTTTTTGATTTTGGGCCACACCCAGAGATGCCCAAGGGTTACTCCAGGTTCTGAGCTCAGGGATCACTCCTGGCAATGCTCAGAGGACCATATGGGATGCCTCGGATTGAATCCCAGTTGGCCACATCCAAGGCAAGTGCCTTTCTCGCTTTGCTCTTTCTGGAACCTATATCAACCAATTATAAAGTAACAAAAAGAAATTATCTCTAAAAGCATATGGTAATTCCTAACATTCTGGCTGAACATGCAAGATTTATTTTTAACACTAGGGGTACTTATCTCTAAGACAGAAACCATTTTAGTGTATGAAATGAAAAGAGAAGAAAACAGTATGAAAAGATTTTTGTTTGCTCAGGTGGACATTTGGTTCAGTCTTGACAGGTATGGTGGTCTGTTCCCTAGGTTTAATTGTAGCTGAGATCAGAGTGTTAATGGCTTGAAGGATCACAGCACTTTTTAGTTTAGAATGGAACAGCTTTTCTTCCATTATTGACTAAAAAAACCTCTGCAAATTCTCTGCAATTTTATTCCACAACCTTTAGAGTGAGGTAGCTGTGAGATCACTTGGAAAACGACACCTAAGAACCTCCAAGTCCTTTATAATCTCCTCCGTTCCTCCATGGGAAATTCTGTTCACACCCATTTGCGTAAACTTGTGCCACAGTTAACTGAAAGTCGATTTGGGAGCTCCCAGAAGGTACAGCTTCCTTCTCGGAATCCTGGCAGAGAGGATGGATCCACGTTTCCCAAATGAAACTACTTGGGTTTCTTGAAAGTTCCTGACGATCACGAACTTTCCCATCACACTAGCGGTGAATTCGGTAGCCACTACGCAGCCCGCTCCTCGAACTAGCAGCAGGGCCAGTCGGGAGGCGGGGAAGGAAATGCCAAGCCCCGCCGTCAACCGAGGCGTGACGCACTTCCGGCGCGACGCTTTTCCCCTCCACGCCGGGGCTGGCTTGTGGGGGGAGGGAGGCGGTTAGTGGGCTTTAGCGCCTTTTCTGGCGGCGGTAGATTTGAAGCGCTTCCAAGAGCCAGACCCTGGGAAGAGGAGAGCGGTGCGGGCGCAGGTAGGTGGCGAGGGACCCGTGCCGTTTCGCTGGACGCGTCTGCAGCCGCGGGCCCGGTGTCTGCGAGCGGGAAGGGGCGCCGTGAAGAGGGGCGGAGCCGGCGCGGTAGGCCTGGCCCGAAGTAACCGTTTTCCCCTCCGGGTCTGGAAAGCCGCTGTGTTTCCCCCCTCACCACCGACCCTCAGCTCCCCAAGGATCCGCCGTGGGTTGCGGCGCCGCTTGCAGCCGTCCTCCGGGCGGTGGAAACGGTCCTCCCCGGGCCAGCCCCCGCCCTCTGCGCTCGGGCGCACGCCGCCCTCCCTGACGCATTTTGCCGCACAAGCTGTAATATGGCGGCAGCGGCGGCGGCCTGAACTCTGGGGAGCCCGGGTGCTTTCTGATGCTTCCCGATCGTAAGATTGAGCCTTCTTGCCGAGTACGGGGTGGGCGCGATTGGCGGGAAAGAAGGAGGTGTAGCCTGGTGCCTGTCGGGTTAGGGTGGACAGTGGCCGCCGAGCAACTCCCCTCCCCAGCAATCGTTTCCCCCCCCCCATCTCTAGGGTTGGTTCAGAGCGGACTGAACACAGGCTCCCCTCCCCCCCATACACACACATACACACACACACAGACCCCGTCCCCCCACGCCGGCCCCGACCTTCGCGCACACCGCGGCGGCCGTGCAGTGCCATGGAGCGGCCCCAGGCCATTCCCTTAACGCTTTCTCCGGAAACTTCTGCCCGGGCTCTTTCCCGGTGCCCGGCCGAGCTGACCCCAAGTTTTCCCCTTCCACAACATACCTTTTCCACCCACCCCCACGTTTCGGAGAAGCGGGGCGCAGGGCAGGCCTTTGGGGAGGAAAGGATTGTTCCCGAGGAGGAAGGTAATGGAGCTCCATGTGCCGGAGGGGGAAGCGTGGGGGCCGGCCCCCCGCCCCCACCGCGATGGTATTTTCGAGGAACTAAGTAGAGGTGCGGAGTGGAAATGGAGGATGTCCCGTCGTTTGGGGACTGCGATCAGAGCTCCATTTTGTGCAGTTGATTGCCATTTCTCTCCGCCAACTGGACTTGACCGTGCAGAGCCCCAAGTTTGGGCGTCCGTGGACACAGATAAGTGCAAGGAATAATGATGTGTTTCCGCAATGGAGGGGCTCGTCAACTTTGAGCCGCAGATTGACGGGTTGGTAACGGCGGGGGAGGGTGAGAACCGCTTTGAAATCTTTGCCCGTACGCTCTAGAAGAGGCGCAGACGACTAGAATGGCTGCTTCCCTCATTCATAGTTTTTATGCACCCGAAAACGTGGCTGTTGTTTAGCGTACCCTCCCCCTCTTCCTTTTAACCGTTTGAGGTGGGGTTCTTTCTGTAGTAAATTGCATGTCTGAAATAATCGTGCTCTGTTTGACGTTTAATGATTCAGAATTGTTACCTTCAGATCCTGAGGATTCTGGGTGTATGTGCCCCCAATTTTTAAGATTTTTGGATTTTTGATCGGTCTCTGTAGGGTTGACATCAAGGTTGTCTTAAAATCATCATGAAGCGCGCTCAGATAGTCAAAATTGAAAGTAAAGGTTGAAATGGATGAAATCAGTATAAACTTTTTAATCTAATTTATTTGTGGTTTTGGCCACACCCGACTGTGCTCAGGGCTTACTCCTGGCTCTGCATTCGGGGATCACTCATGGGGTGGGGGTGGGTGGGGGGGTCACGGTAAGCCGTGATTATGTGCTGAGGTCGATTGTGTGTGCAAGGCAAACGCCATACCTGCTGTACTGTCACTCCTGCCCCTCAATAGAAACTTTGTTTGAGGAAAGGAGAAGGACAGCAGCACTGGAGGGATAGTACAGCAAGTAGGGTATTTGCTCTACAAAAATGGCCGGCCCTGGTTTGAGCTCCGGCACCCCGTTCTCCCTACTTCTTTCCCCCATTGCTCCAGGAGTGATCCCTGAGCTCAGAGCCAGAAAGCAGTAAGCCCTTAGCACCGCTGCCTGTAAGGCCCATAAAACTGGAGGAGTGGGGGTGGAGGGAGGGAAAGGAAAGAAAGGTGGAGCAGCCCCTTAAGAAGGTTGCAGGGGAAAGGTGAAAACCCTTTATATCTTCTAAACTAAGGGGATGGATGGATGATCACTTTGCATTGGGTTTAAAATATGCAAGATGGGAAAACAAAGAGCTGAATGTTTGAGGGGATTATCTTCACATCCTGGGTACAAGTCCTACCCCCTCCCCCTTTGTAATCTCTGCCCATTTTCTCTCCTGTCTTGATGTCATTTTCCCTTTTTTTACTGGGAGGTTGGAATTGGGCTTCAGTTTCTGAAGGGAATTTCAGGTGGGGGTCTTTTAGCTACTTCCTGCTGGAAATGGAAGTGCGGATTGCAGGTGAGCACATTTCCCCCACCCACCCAATAGATCTGTCCAGGACTGTCTGTAGACATCAAGTGGAATGTACATTCCGTTCTGCATCAGCATCTATAACTTGAAAGATTTTGAATGAGACAAGTTTTGTAAAGTGTTTGAGAGAGCTGGTCTAAATATTTGAATGTGGGTAAGAAATTGAAAGACCTGAGAGTTCACTGATGCCTTTCTCCCCAAGTCCTTAAAGTGGATTTTGGAATCGGTTTGGTCCCTTGATTGGTCAGGGCAGACCCAGTAGTTAGAATATCTACTTCTTTTACAAATGTTTCAGAGAGGGAAACAAAGGATATGTCTTTGGACAGAGAGGGGCGGAGGGGGTAGAGGTGCATGAGAGGCTATCCTTGTCTTTTAGGAGTTCTTTTTAGTGAAGAAGTGGTTATAGATAAGTAAGACCTTTGTTTAATTCTTAACCAAAACCAGAGTACCAGGGCCAGACTCACTTTGTGTTTCAAAAGAATATAGCTGATTCTATTTTGGATTTTAAATGTAATTCTTTGTATCTCTCAGTGGGACTAGAATTTGTTTTTTCTATAAATAGGCATGTCTCTGAAATGAAATGTGGTTTTCTCTCCATCCTTACAATTACTATAGTAGATTAAGTTTGTTCCTAGTTAAAAAATGGTGATTATTTTGCATAGGTACAGTAAGTATTGAGGTAATAACTTCTAACTTTAGATCTGGGTTAAATTAGAGCAAGGTGACTTTTTTCCAGGGAGCATTTGATCATGTTTTTCAACTACAGGTCTCTGTTTTAGTTCCCTAATACTAGAGTTTGCTTCTGATCTTGAAGGAGGCATGAAAGGGCCATTTTCTTCTGGTTAGAGGCCATCTCTTTGAGACATTGATTGCCCTTGCACCAATGTGCCTATTGAGCCCTAAGGCTCTCCCATTCTCATAGTTGGAATGGCTTTTGTGCCTGCCTCAGTTTAATCTGAGTTCCTTTGTGGAAGTCATTATGAGTATTAGCTAATGCCAGAATTACAGGACAAATAAGGCCCCAAGTTAAGTTAGTATGACAGATGCACAGGACATTATAGGATCCCAGAATCCATTTTCAACACCTATATTTTGGACTCATCACTTTCTGCTTAAGTGGTTTTTTTTTTTTTTTTTTTTGCTTTGCATTTTTGGGTCACACCAAGCAGTCCTCAGGGGCTACTCCTGGTGGTGCTCCTATGGAATGCAGAGGATGGAACCTCAGTTGCTCAAGGCGAATGCCCTCCCTTCTGTACTATGGCTCAGGCCCCTCTGCTTAAGTTTTTTTTTTGGGGGGGGGTCCACACCTGGCGGTGCACAGGGGTTACTCCTGGCTCTGCACTCAGGAGTTACTCCTGGCGGTGCTCAGGGGACCATATGGGATGCTGGGAATCAAACCCAGGCCAACTGCGTGCAAGGCAAAATGCCCTACCCGCTGTGCTCTCTCTCCAGCGCTTCTGCTTAAGTTTTTAAGTATTCACATGGCTACTTTCTTACCCTTTTGTAACTTACCTGTTTTCCTGTTTCTGTATAAATAAGATACTGCATAGAATATCTAGAAAACATACTAAAGGTGTCAAGGATAGAGAAAAGAAAATTATTTCTTTCTACTTATGGTAAGATGCAGTTTATCAGTTTGTTGTGGGTCATAGGTTAATGAACTGTCACTGTCTTCCCCATTGTTCATCGATTTGCTTGAACGGGCCCACTCACATTGTGAGACTTGTTACTGTGTTTGTCATATCGAATACCTCATGGGTAGCTTGCCAGGCTTTGCCATGCAGGTGAGATACTCTCAGTAGCTTGCTAGCTGGAGCGATAGCACAGCAGTAGGGCGTTAGCCTTGCATGCACCCGAGTTCGATTCCTCCGCCCCTCTCGGAGAGCCTGGCAAGCTACCGATGTTAATGGACAAATTATTAAAACATACATTATTTTTGTTAGTTTGTTTTGGGGACATCCCCAGTGGTTCTCAGGTGTTAGCCCTGGCTCTCTGCTTCAGAATCACTCCTGTGCTAGAGATCAAACCTGGGTTAGCCTCATGGAGGGCAAGCTCCCTACTTGATATACTGACGCGCTGGCCTCAAAACATGTAACGTTTAAGCAGTACAGACAGTATGCATGGTCTTTCTTGTTTTCTGTGGGGAAAAAAATGTTTCTTTTTATTTATTTAGGTTTTGGAGCCATACCCAGCTTTGTGGAGAGCTTACTCCTTACTCTCTGCTCAGGGATCACTCTTGGTTGGGTTCAGGGGACCATATGGAGTGCCAAGGGATTGAACCCAAGTCTGCCATGTGTAAGGCAAAAACTGCCCACTGTACTATCACTCTGGTCCCCAAAATCTGGATCTTAAAGGGGGCTGGAGCTGTAGCACAGTGGGTGGGGCGTTTGCCTTGCACTCATCCGACCCAGGGTTCGATTCCCAGCATTCCATATGGTCCCCCAAGCACCGCCAGGAGTAATTCCTGAGTGCAGAGCCAGTTGTAACCCTTGAGCATTGCTGGGTGTGACCCAAAAAGCAAAAAAAAAAAAAAACAACAACAACTTGAAGTGTCTGCATTAAATACAACATATAACTTCATATGCATATTGATAAGGCCTGACATTTTAAGTGACAGTGCTTCTAGGATGAGTCTGTACCCTTGAGCATTGTTCTAAGACCCTTTCCCCACACATTCATTTGAACAAAAGCATTGGAACAGTTCTGCAATTTTTTTTTTAATGAATCACGGTTGTATTTTTTTTAATGAATCACCGTGAGATAGACTTAAAAACCTTTGTGATTATGTTTCAGTCATACAATGATCGAGTACCCTTCCCTCCACCAATGCCCATTCTCCACTACCAATGTTCCCAGTGACTCTCCCGCCACCTCCACCCCATACCCCCGCCCCCTGCCTCTGTGGTAGGCACCGTACCTTTTACTCTCTCTCCTTTTGAGGGTTATGGTTTGTTATACAGGTGAGCAGACTAAATATTTTTAAATGATAATGTTTCCCATAAAACTCTAGTATACTAAATTGACCTGATTT